AAGAAGAGACTGGACAGCCATTTGTCTGAAATGGTATAGGGTTTCCTGCCTGAGCAGGGGGTTGGACTAGATGACCTCCAAGGTCCCTTCCAACTTTATTATTATTATTATTATTATTATTATTATTATTATTATTATTATTATTATTATTATTATTATTATTATTATTATTATTATTATTATTATTATTATTATTATAGAGTGACTTTTTTACGCACTTTTTCTTACTTCTGGAATTTATTTAGCATATTCCTTTGTAAAATGAACTTGAAATCTAGGCTTCCTTGAAATTATAAGACAGAGGCCCCCAACCTTTTGGGTACTAGGGACCAGTTCCATGGAGAAAGGTTTTTCCACAGACCAAAGGGAGTGTTGTTTTATGTGCTGCCTGCATCCAGTGAATGGAGCTTCGCTTGTTTGCACGACCCGGTTTCTGACATGCCGTGGACTGGTGCTGGTCCATGGACCTGGGGTTGGAGACATCTGTTATAAGATACATAAACTCTAAATATATTCATTCAATCATGAATGCATACAAAACTGCATAAAAAGAAATAAAAATACACATTCAAATATGAAGACGTCACACCATACACACCAATTGTTTTAATAGTCCTCTATTGAGGATTAAAATTAATCTAAGACAATATATTACTTCATAAGAGAACCATGCATAATGATTCCATTTTAACACAGAATTCCTTGTAAGAAACATGGGGTACATAACCCTAACCCTAACCACATTCTTCAATATAGGCATTGCCATACTGAAGGCATTGTTTTGGGATTTTTTGCTTTTTTCAGCTTCAGCTGAAGATGATAATTACCTTCCTAAAGTTTTGACTACACCAATTACCAAACCTGGTAATCATGGGTTTGGTAACATTGTATATAGGTGTTTTTTTTTGTTTTTTTTTGCTACCTGATAATGAATTCCCCATGGCTATGTAGACACAAGGAGTTTCAACACTATCCAGAACTTTGAAAGAAATACTCGTGGATGATATGTAGAGTTTCCTTACACAGATGGGTAGTATTAGGAGACCATCCTTATTGTATCATATGACTTTTGATATTCATTTTCTCAAGGTATAACTCCCTTTACCCTTTGAGAATACTTACTTCTTCAGTTCAAAATCCTTTCATAACTTATAATTAGTATAACATGGTATTTTGAATCCTGTAGTTCCCTGTCAAATGTATATTAATTCTATACCGGACTTCCTTTCAGCTTCTTATAAACCAAGCCCAGTTCCACCAAGGTTTAAAGAACCTGAGTACATCATGCCAGAAGTACCAGACAGGAAACATGGTAGAGTGACTTTTTTTACGTACTACTTTCTGATCTATTACAAGATGTGTTCTTGTATCTATCTAGTGTAATCTTATCCAACGGGTTTACAAAATCCTGGTTTTCTGGAAATTACTATATGCACAAGTTCTAAGTATATTATTGAATGGAAGTGTAGTTCCAGAAGACAGTGCACCGTAAAACTCAAGATTTCTCTTGATCTCTTTATACAGAAGATAAAAATTCTTCTAAGACAATGTATTTCTTCATAGTAGAGACATCCCTGAAAATTCCATTTTAAGATGAAACAGCTCTTAGGCTTATATAGATGTAACCATGTCCTTCAACCTGGATAATGTGAACTTATTTGGGGGTTGTTGGCTTTTTTCTAGTTTCAACTGAGGATGATAATTATCTTCCTAAAGTCTTGACCACGCCAGAACTTCCTATTACCAAATCTGGTAATTATGTTTCGTGATATGGTTGATAAAAATGTGTGTGATTGTTGATAAATAATGCAGTCCTGGTGACTGTTCAGAAACAAGAAGTTTCTGCACTGAACAAAATTAGAAAGATCATCTGTAGAGTTTCATTACACAGATGGATAGTAGTAAAACTCCAAATATTTCTTCTCATGCTAATTTTAATGTTCATTTTCCTGAAATCACCAATTACCCTTTGAGAATATATTTCTCAGTTCAAAATCCTTTCATTGTATATCACACAGTCTTTTGAATCCTCTACCTCCCTATCAGATTGCAGACTAACGTTATATCGGACTTCCTTTCAGTTTCTTATGAATCAAGCCCTGTTCCATCAAAATTTAAAGAACCCGGCTACATCATGCCAGAAGTACCAGACGAGAAACCTGGTAGAGTGACTTTTTTTACATAATATTTTTTTATCCTTTACAAAATAACTTATTGCATCTATTTGGTGTAATCCAAATAATTTACAAAATCCAGATATTCTGGAAATTACTATATGTATAACTTCTAAGTATATTATTGACTCATGAATGCTCTAGAGCACAGAATAGAATAGAAGTGCCCTTTCCAATCAGAAGACAGCGAAGCGTTAAAACCCAAAATTTCTCTTGATCCCTTTCTATGGAAGATAAAAATCCTTCTGAGACAATATATTTCTTCATAGAAAGAAATATGCCTGACAATTCGATTTTAAGAAGAAACAGTTCTTAGGCTTATAACCATGTCCTTCAGCATAGATAGTGTGAACTTATTTGGGGGTTGTTGTTTTTTTCCAGTTTCAACTGACTATGATAATTACCTTCTTAAAGTCTTCACCACTCCAGAACTCCAAATTACCAAACATGGTAATTATGTGTTCTCATATGTTTAATAAAAATGTATGTGTGATTGTTGGTAGATAATGCACTCTTGGTGGCTACTTAGAAACATGGAGCTTCTGATTGAACATAACTTCTAAAGACATGTCCCAAACCATATGCAGAGCTTTAGACATGCATAATATTGGGGGAACATCCACATTCTTTCATGCTACTTTAGATCTTTATTTTCCCAAGGTTTAAGCCCCTTAGCCTTTGAGAATTATTTCTTCTTCAGTTCAAAATCCTTTCATAAATTATGACAAATAAAACACTGCATCTTCAATCCTGTACTTCCCTGTCAAATGTAGATTAATTTTAGACTGGACTTCCTTTCAGCTTCTTATAAACCAAGCCCGGTTCCACCAAAGTTTAAAGAACCCGAATACATCATGCCAGAAGTACCAGACAGGAAACATGGTAGAGTGACTTTTTTTACATGCTTCTTTCTTCCTCTGGAATTTATCTAGTGTATTCCTTCCTGAAATGAACATAAAATCCATACTTCCTTGAAATTATAAAGTGCATAAGTTCTAAATATATTCATTAAATCATAAATGTGTAAAAGGAATAGAAGTACAAATTCAAAACTGAAAACACCAAACCAGGCGCACCACAATTTATGGTCCTCCACTGACAATTAATCTACCACCATATATTAGTTAATTGCAGGATTATGTATGACAATTCTATTTCAATATAAAAGGACTTGTAGGCAACTTGGGCTACATACAGTAGATATAACCATGTCCTTCAAGATGGACACTGTGAAATTATTTTGGGGTTATTTGCTTTTTTCCAGTTTCAACTGAAGATGAAAATTATCTTCCTAAAGTCTTGACCACAACAGAACGTCCAATTACCAAACCTGGTAATTATGTGTTCTCATATTTTTGATAAAATTATATGTGTTGTGATCATTGGTAAATAATGCACAGCTGGCAGCTGCTTAGGAACAAGGAGGTTCTGCACTGAACAGAATTTGAAAGATATGCCTGTAGATCTTATATAGAGCTTCATTACACAGTAATGGATAGTAGTAAAAGACCATATATTTCTTGTCATGCTATTTTAATATTCATTTTGCTGAAATTAACTGTTACCCTGTGAGAATTCTTCCTTCTTCAGTTCAAAATCCTTTCATCACATATGATTATTATAACACAGTGTTTTGAACCCTGTATCACCCTATCGGATTGCAGACTAATTCTATACCGGACTTCCTTTCAGCTTCTTATGAACAAAGCTCTGTTCCATCAAAATTTAAAGAACCCAGCTACATCATGCTAGAAGAACCAGACAGGAAAGCTGGTAGAGTGATTTTGTTTATGTACTATCTTCTGATACTTTACAAGATATGTTCTTGCATCTATTTGGTATAATCTCATCCAAAGGGTTTACAAAATCCAGATATTCTGGAAATTACTATAGGTATAGGTTCTAAGTATATTACTGATTCACAAATGCTGCACAACACAGAGTAGACAGCGCACCGTAAACCCCAAACTTTCCCTTTATCCCTCTATATGGAAGATGAAAATCCTTCTAAGGCAATGTATTTCTTCATAATAGGGCCATGCCTGACAATTCCATTTTAAGATGAAACAGCTCTTAGGCTTATATAGGTGTAACCATGTCCTTCAACATGGACAATGTGAACCTATTTTAGGTTTGTTGGCTTTTTTCCAGTTTCAGCTGAGGATGATAATTATCTTCCTAAAGTCTTGACCATAACAGAACTTCCAATTACTAAATCTGGTAATTATGTGTTCCCATATTTTTGATAAAACTGTATATGTAGTGATCATTGATAGATAATACGCTCCTGGCAGATACTTAGAAACAAGGAAGTTCTATACTGAATAGAACTTTGAAAGACATGCTCGCAGATCATAGGTTGAGTGTCATTACACAGATGCATAGTATTAAATATATATATATTATTTCTTCTAATGCTACTTTTGATGTTCATTTTCCTGAAATTCCCCATTACCCATGCCAGAAGTACCAGACAGGGTACAGGGTAGAGTGACTTTTTTTTACTTACTGCTTTCTGATCCTTTGCAAAATAAGTTATTGCATGTATTTAATGTAGTCTTTTCCAAAGGATTTACAAAATCCAGGCATTCTGGAAATTATTATATGCGTAAGTTCTAAGTACATTATTCAATCATGAATGCTCTGCAACACTAATGAGAGTGGAAGAGCACTTTCCAACTAGAAGACAGAGCAGCAAACAATTCAAAATTTCCATTGATCTTCATGTATAGAGAATTAAAGCCCTTCTAAGACAATATATTTCTTCATAAACAGAAATATGCCCGACCATTCTATTTTAAGATGAAACAGTTCTTGGGCAACTTGACATCTATAGACGAAATCATGACCTTCAATATGAATATTGTGAAATTATTACAGGGTACTGTACTTATTTCCAGTTTCAACTAAGAATGATTATCTTCCTAAAGTCTTGACCACATCAGCAATCCCAATAACCAAACATGATAATTATGAGTTCTCATATATTTTTAAAAAATGTATACAATGTGATTGTTGGTAGATAATGCACTGTTAGTGGCTAATTATAAACAAGGAATTTTGTATTAAAAATAAGTTTGAAAGACATACCCACAGATCATATGCAGAGCTTGCTATAGAGATGCATAATATTTGGAGAATATCCATTTTATTTCGTGCTACTTTAGATCTTATTTTCCCAAGGCATAATTCCCATACCCATTTGAGAATTCTTTCTTCTTCAGTTGAAAATTATTTCATAAATTATGATTAGTGTAACACAGTATTTTGAATCCTATACTTTACTGTCAAACGTACATTAATTTTAAGCTGTACTTCCTTTCAGCTTCTTATAAACCAAGCCTGATTCCCCCAAAGTTTAAAGAACCTGACTATGGCATGCCAGAAGAACCAGACAGAAAACATGGTAGTGTAACTTCTTTTACATGCTTCTTTCTACCTCTGGAATTTATCTTGTGTATTCCTTTCTGAAATGAATATGAATTCCGGACTTCCTTGAATATATAAAATGCATAAGTTCTAAATATATTCATTCAGTCATGAATGCTGTACAAAACTGTATAAAAAGGAATAGAAGTACACATATAAATCTGAACACATCAGACCAGGCAAACAAAAACTGATAGTCCTCCATGGACAATTAAAATTCATCTACTACAATATATTAATTGTAGGACTATTTACGACAATTCTATTTCAAGATACAGGACTTGTAGGCATCCTGGGGTACATAGGTGTAACCATGTCCTTCAATATGGATACAATGAACTTATTTTTTGGTTGTTTGCTTTTTTCCAGTTTCAACTGAAGATGATAATTATCTTCCTAAACTCTTGACCACAACAAAACTTCCAATTACCAAACATGGTAATTATGTGTTCTCATATTTTTGATAAATGTATATGCATAGTTATCATTGGTAAATAATGCACTCCTTGTGGCTTCTTAGAAATAAAGAGGCTCTGTATCGAACAGAACTTTGAAAGAAATGCTCGCAGATCATAGGTGGAGCGCCTTTACACAGATACATACTATTAGAAGACCACATATTGCTTCTTATGCTACTTTTGGTGTTCATTTTCCTGAAATTATCCTTTACCCATGCAGGAAGTACCAGACAGGATACATGGTAGAGTGACTTTTTTTTTTACATGCTTCTTCTTACCATCTAGTATTATTCTAATGTGTTTGTTTCTGAAATGAACATGAAATCCAGATTTCCCTGAAGTTATAAGCTCGAAATAAATTCATTCAATCATGATTGCTGTACAAAACTTTATAAAAAGGAACAGAAGTACAATTCAAACCAGAAGACATCAGACCAGGCACACAAAAATTTTCTTTGATGGTCCTCCACTGACAATTAAAATTCATCCAAGGTTATAGGACTATGTACAACAATTATAAAATGCATAAGTTCTAAATATAGTCATTGCATCATTAATGCTGTAGAAAACTGTATAAAAATATTCCTGTATCAAAAGGAATAGAAGTACACATTCAAATCAGACCAGGCACACCAAAATTTTCTTTGATGGTGCTCCACTGAGGATTAAAAGGACTTGTCTTGTAGACAACGTGGAGTACATAGGTATAACCATGTCCTTCAATATGGACAATGTAAACTTATTTTGGGATTGTTTGCTTTTTTTCCAGTTTCAACTGAAGATGATAATTATCTTCTGAAAGTCTTGACCATGCCAGGACTTCCAATTACCAAACCTATTATGTGTTCTCCTATATTTGATAAAATTATATGCGTGAGTGATCATTGATAGATAATACACTCCTGGCAGCTAATTAGACACATGGAATTTCTGCACTGAACAGAATTTGAAAGACATGCCCTCAAATCTTAGATAGAGCTTCATTACACACATGGATAGTAGTAAAAGACTATATATTTCTTGACATTTTGATGTTCATTTTCTGAAATTACCCATTACCCTTTGAGACTTTTTCCTTCTTCAGTTCAAATCCTTTCATCACATATGATTATTATAACACAGTGTTTTGAATCCTGTATCACTCTATCAGATTGCAGACTAATTCTATACCGGACATTCTTTCAGCTTCTTATAAACAAAGCTCTGTTCCATTAAAATTTAAAGAACACGGCTACATCATGTCAGAAGTACCAGACAGGAAACCTGGCAGAGTCACTTTATTTATGTCCTACTTTCTGATCCTTTACAAGATACATTCTTGCATCTATTTAGTGTAATCTTATCCAAATAGTTTACAAAACCAGATATTCTGGAAATTACTATATGTATAGGTTCTGAGTATATTATTGAATCACAAATGCTCTACAACACAGAATAGAATAGAAGTGCACTTTCCAACAAGACGCTCACCGTGAAACCCAAAATTTCCCTTGATCCTTCTATATGGAAGATGAAAATCCTCTAAGACAATATATTTCTTCATAATAGGGCCATGCCTGACAATTCCATTTTCAGATGAAACAGCTCTTAGGCTTATATAGGTGTAACCATGTCTTTCAACATGGACAATGTGAACTTATTTTGAGATTGTTTGCTTTTTTCTAGTTTCAATTGAGGATGATAACTATCTGCCTAAAGTCTTGACCACGCCAGAACTTCCTATTACCAAATCTGGTAATTATGTGTTGTCATGCTGTTGATAAAAATGTATACAATGTGATTGTGTATAGATAATGCAGTCCTGGCATTTGCTCAGCAACAAGGATGTTCTGAACTGAACAGAATTTTAAAAAACATGCTCGCAGATCATAGGTAGAATGGCATTTCCCAGAAGACCATATATTTCTTCTCATGCTGCTTTTGATGTTCATTTTCCTGAAATTACCCATTACTCATGCTAGAAGTACCAGATAGTATTCATGGTAGAGTGACTTTTCTTACGTACTACTTTCTGATAGTTTGCAAGATAAGTTCTTGTATCTATCTAATGTAATATATTTCAATGGGTTTACAAAATCCAGACATTCTGGAAATTATTACATGCATAAATTCTAAGTACATTATTCAATCATGAATGCTCCACAACACTAATGAGAATTGATAGAGCACTTTCCAACTAGAAAACAGTGCACCAAGCAATTAAAAATTTCCATTGATCCTCATCTATAGAAAATTAAAACCCTTCTAAGACAATATCACCAGACTTCACTAAGACACCTGATAGATTTGTAGCTGGCTGAACAGCCATACTCAGCGTGTGGTCCTCAATGGAACTGCATCTACATGGAGGGAAGTGTGTAGTGGGGTGCCTCAGGGCTCTGTTCTGGGCCAAGTGCTGTTCAACATCTTCATCAATGATTTGGATGAAGGAATAGATGGAGAACTCATCAAATTTGCAGATGACACTAAGCTGGCAGGAATAGCCAACACTCCAGAAGATAGGCTTAAGATACAGACTTGACAGATTTGAACATTGGGCGCTATCTAACAAAATAAAATCCAGTGGTGAAAAAAGTAAGGTTCTACATTTAGGCAAGAAAAACCAAATGCATAGGTACAATACAGGTGGTACCTTGCTCAATAGTAATAACTATGAGAGGGATCTTGGAGTCCTAGTAGACAAACACTTAAATATGAGCCAGCAGTGTGCTGCAGCTGCCAAAAGCGCCAACACAGTGCTAGGCTGCATTAACAGAGGGATAGAATCAAGATCACGTGAAGTGTTAGTACCACTTTATAATGCCTTGGTAAGGCCCTACTTGGAATACTGCATCCTGTTTTGGTCACCACGATGTAAAAAAGATGTTGAGACTCTAGAAAGAATACAGAGAAAAGCAACAAAGATGATTAGGGGACTGGAGGCTAAAAGATATAAAGAACGATTGTTGGAATTGGATATGTCTAGTTTAATGAAGAGAAGGACTAGGGGTGACATGATAGCAGTTTTCCAATATCTCAGGGGTTGTCACAAAGAAGAGGGAGTCAAGCCAGTTTCCAAAGCACGTGAAGGCAGGATAAGAAGCAATGGATGGAAACTAATCAAAGGTCCCTTCCAGCTATAATAATAATAATAATAATAATAATAATAATAATAATAATAATAATAATAATAATAATAATAATAATAATAATAATAATAATAATAATAATAATAATAATAACGACGACGACGACGACGACGATGATGATGATGATGATGATGATGATGATGATGTATGTCATCATAGACATAAATATGCCTGGCCATTCTATTTTAAGATGAAACAGCTGTTAGGCAACTTGACATCTATAGGTGTAACCATGTCCTTCAATATGGACACGGTGAACTTATTTTGGGATTGTTTGCTTTTTTCCAGTTTCAACTGAAGATGATAATTATCTTCCTAAAGTCTTGACCATGCCAGAATTTCCAATTACCAAACCTGGTAATTATGTGTTCTTATATTTTGATAAAAATATATACGATGTGATCATTGGTAGCTATTGCACCCCTGGCGGCTGCTTAGAATCAAGGATGTTCTGTCCCGAACAGAACTTTGAAAGACATGCTTTCAGATCATAGGTAACGTGTCATTACACAGATGCATAATATTAGAAGCCACATATTTCTTCCCATGCTATCTTTGATGTTCATTTTCTTGAAATTACACATTACCCATGCCAGAAATACCAGACAGGATACATGGTACAGTGACTTTTTTATATACTACTCTCTGATCCTTTGCAAAATACGTTCTTGACTCTATCTGGTGTAATCTTCAATTAATTTACAAAATCTAGACATCCTTGAAAATATTACATGCATAAATTCTAAGTACATTATTCATTTGTGAATGATGTACAACACTGAAGAGGTTGTTTGCTTTTTTCCAGTTTCAACTGAAGATGACAATTATGTTCCTAAAGTCTTGACCACGCCAGAACTGCTAATTACCAAACCTGGTAATCATGTGTTCTCATATCTTTGATAAAAATGTGTACAGTATGATTATTATTAGATAAGTGGCTACTTAGGAAAATAGTTTCTGGATTGAACAGAACTTTGAATGACATTCTGATGTATCATAGATAGAGCACATTATTAGCAGGCAATCTGTTTTTTGTCATGCTACTTTTAGTGCTCATTTTAATGAGATTTACTGTTTGAGAATTCTTTCATCTTCCATTCAAAATCCTTTCTTAAGATATGACTGGTGTCACATGGTATTTTTAATCCTGTACCTCCCTGTGAGAATGTAGATTAATTCTAGACTGGACTTCCTTTCAGCTTCTTATAAACCAAGCCCGGTTCCGCCAAAGTTTAAAGAACCTGAGTACATCATGCCAGAAGTACCAGACAGAAAACATGGTAGAGTGACTTTTTTTACATGCTTCTTTCCACCATCTAGTATTATTCTAATCTTTTCCTTTCTGAAATGAATATGAAATCCAGACTTCCTTGAAATTATAAAATGCGTAACTACTAAATAAATTCATCCAATCATGAATGTTGAACAAGTGCATGTTCAAACTGGAAGACATTAGACCAGACACATCCTTATGTGTTCTCATATGTTTGATAAAATTATATGTGAAGTGATTGTTGGTAGGTGACTGCTTAGAAACAAAGAGTTTCTGCACTGAACAGAATTTGAAAGGATCATTAGCAGAGCTTTATCGCACAGATTCATAGTATTAGCAGACTACATTTTTTCTGATGCTACTTTTATTATGATTTACTCCTTGGGAATTCTTTCTTCTCCCTATCCGAATGTAGATTAATTCTACACTGGTCTTCCTTTCATTTTCTTATAAGCCAAGCTCAGTTTGCATTTATTTAATAATTTTTTTAGTTTGTATGCTGACTAATAATACATTCCCCAAGGCTACCTAGACAGAAGGATTCTGGATTGGACAGAACTTTCAAAGACATCCCAGCAGATCATATGCAGTTCTTCGCTACAGAGATTCTTATTTTCATGCTGTTTTAGATCTTTATTTTCCCAAGGTTGGACTCCCATTACACTTTGGAAAGTTTTTCTTCTTCAGTTCAAAATCCTTTAATAAGTTACAATTAGTATCATACAGTATTTTGAATTCATGTACTGCCCTGTCAAAATGTAGATTAATTCTAGACATAACTTCCTTTCAGTTTCTTATGAACCAACCTCCATTCCTTCCAACGTTAAGGAACCTGACTATATCCTGCCAGAAGTACCAGAAAGGAAACATGGTAGAGTGACTTTTTTAATGTACTATTTCCTGATTCTTAACTAGATAAGTTATGAATCTATATCATATAATCTTATGAAATGGATTTATGAAATCCATTCACTCTGGAGCTCATCATCTGAATACATTATAAGTATATTATTCAATCATGAATTTTCTACCCCACTGAGTAGAATGGTATTGCACTTTCCAACAAGAATACAGCACACCCTACAAACCAAAAAATTTTTTGGCCATCCTGTACAGAGGATTGAAACTATCTAAGACAATACACTTCATAGTCCAGTCATGCCCAACAATTCCATTTTAACATGAAAGAGGTGTTAAGTACCTTGACATGTATAGGTGTAACCATGTCCTTCAATATGAACACTGTGAACTTATTTTGCGGTTGTTTCTTTTTTCCAGTTTCAACTGAAGATGATAATTATCTTCCTAAAGTCTTGACCACAACAGAACGTCCAATTACCAAACATGGTAATTATGTGTGATAAAATTATATGTGGAGTGATTGTTGGTAGATAATGCACTCCTGGCGGCTACTTAGAAATGCAGAGTTTCTGCACTGAATTTGAAAGACATGTACGTAGGTCATATCTAGAGCTTCATTACACAAATGCATAGTATTAGACAACCATATGTTTCTTGTCATGCTTCTTTTGATGTTCATTTTCCTGAAATTACCCATTTTCCTTTGAGAATTCTTTTTTCCTCAGTTCAAAATTCTTTCATCAGATATGACTAATATCACACAGTATTGAGAACCCTGTATCTCCCTGTCAGATTGCAAAATAACTCTATACTGAACTTCTTTTCAGCTTCTTATAAACCAAGCTCTGTTCCATCAACATTTAAAGAACCCAGCTACATCCCACCAGAAGTACAAGACACAAAACATGGTAGAGTGAATTTTTTATGTACTACTTTCTTCTCATTTACAAGATACATTTTTCCAGTATATTTTTATTCAATGGGTTTATGAAATCCAAACATTTTGGAAATTGCTTTGTGCATTATTCAGTCATGAATTCTCTACAATATTTAATGGAACCGAACTGTACTTTCCAACTAGAAGACAATGAGACATCCCCCCAAAATTGTCCTTGAAGATCAACTATGGAAAATTAAAATACTTTTAAGACTCTATATTTTTTCATAGTAGGATCACTCCTGAAAGTTCCATTTTCAGATGAAAGAGCAAATTGACATATATAGGTGAAATCATGCCCTTCAGTGTGAACATTTTGATATTATTTTGGGGTTGTTTGCTTTTTTCCAGTATCAACTGAAGATGATAATTATCTTCCTAAAGTCTTGACCACGCCAAAACTGCTAATTACCGAATCTGGTAATCATGTGTTCTCATATGTTTGATAAAAATATATACAGTATGCTTATTGGTAGATAATGAACTCTTAGTGCTCTTTAAGAAAATAGTTTCTGGATTGAACAGAACCTTGAATGACATTCTGATGTATCATAGGTAGAGCTTTACTACACTGATGCACATTATTAGCAGGCAATCTGTTTTTTTGTCTTGCTAGTTACCAAACCCGGTAATTATGTGTTCTCGTATATTTGACAAAAATGTATACAGTGTGATTGTTGGTAGAAATTGCACTCTTGGTGGCTACTTAGAAACATGGAGCTTCTGATTGAACATAACCTCTAAAGACATGCCCCAAACCATATGCAGAGCTGTATACATGCATAATATTTGGGGAACATCCACATTTTTTCAAGCATGAAATCCAGACTTCCTTGAAGTTATAAGATGTGTAAGTTCCAAATAAATTCATTCAATCATGAATGCTGTATAAAACTGTGTAAAAAGGAACCAAAGTACACATTCAGACTTGAAGACATCAGACCAGACACACCAAAAATTTCCTTGATGGTCCTCTACTGAGATTTAAAATTCATCTAAGACAGTATATTAGTTAATTGTAGGACTGTGTACATTTCTATTTCAAGATATAAGGATGTGTAGGCAACTTGGCATATATAGGTGTAACCATGTCCTTCAACATGGACACTGTGAACTTATTTTGGGGTTGTTTGCTTTTTCCAGTTTCAACTGAAGATGACAATTATGTTCCTAAAGTCTTGACCACGCCAGAACTGCTAATTACCGAATCTGGTAATCATGTGTTCTCATATGTTTGATAAAAATATATACATTATGCTTATTGGTAGATAATGCACTCTTAGTGGCTCCTTAAGAAAATAATTTCTGGATTGAACAGAACTTTGAATGACATTCTGAGGTATCATAGGTAGAGCTTCACTACACAGATGCATATTATTAGCAGGCAATCTGTTTTTTGTCATGCTACTTTTAGTGTTCATTTTGTTGAGATTGACTGTTTGAAAATGCTTTCATCTTCAATTCAAAATCCATTCTTAAGATATGACTAATGTCACATGGTATTTTTAATCCTGTACCTCGCTGTCAGAATGTAGTTTAATTCTAGACTGGACTTCCTTTCAGCTTCTTATAAACCAAGCCCGGTTCCGCCAAAGTTTAAAGAACCCGAGTACATCATGCCAGAAGTACCAGACAGAAAACATGGTAGAGTGACTTTTTTTACATGCTTCTTTCCACCATCTAGTATTATTCTACTCTCTTCCTTTCTGAAATGAATAGGAAATCCAGATTTCCTTGAAGTTATAAAATGTATAAGTTCCAAATAAATTCATTCAATCATGAATGTTGTACAAAACTGTATAAAAAGGAACCAAAGTACACATTCAAACTTGAAGATATCAGACCAGACCACACCAAGATTTTCCTTGATGGTCCTCTACTGAGATTTAAAATTCATCTAAGACAGTATATTAGTTAAATGTAGGACTATATACAACATTTCTATTTCAAGATAGAAGGACATATAGGCAACCTGGGGTACATACTGTAGGTGTAACCATGTCCTTCAATGTGGACACTGTGAACTTATTTTGGGGTTGTTTGCTTTTTTCAGTTTCAACTGAAGATGATAATTATCTTCCTAATGTCTTGACCACAACAGAACTTCCAATTACCAAACCCGGTATTTATGTGTTCTCGTATGTTTGACAAAAATGTATACAGTGTTATTGTTGGTAGAAATTGCACTCTGGGTGGCTACTTAGAAACATGTAGCTTCTGATTGAACATATCTTCTAAAGGCATGCCCCAAACCATATGCAGAGCTTTAGACATGCATAATATTTGGGGAACATCCACATTTTTTATGCTACTTTAGATCTATATTTTCCCATGGTTTAAGTCCCCTTAGCCTTTGAGAATTATTTCTTCTTCAGTTGAAAATCCTTTCATAGGTTTAGTATTACACTGTATCTTGAATCCTATCACCCTGTCAAATGTAGATTAATTTTAGACTGGACTTCCTTTCAGCTTCTTATAAACCAAGCCCGGTTCCGCCAAAGTTTAAAGAACCCGAGTACATCATGCCAGAAGTACCAGACAGGAAACATGGTAGAGTGACTTTTTTTTCATGCTTCTTTACACCATCTAGTATTATACTACTCTGTTCCTTTCTCAAATGAATATGAAATCCAGACTTCCTTGAAGTTATAAGATGTGTAAGTTCCAAATAAATTCATTCAATCATGAATGCTGTACAAAACTGTTTAAAAAGGAACCAAAGTACACATTCAAACTTGAAGACATCAGACCAGACACACCAAAAATTTCCTTGATGGTCCTCTACGAGATTTAAAATTCATCTAAGACAGTATATTAGTTAACTGTAGGACTATGTACATTTCTGTTTCAAGATATAAGGATGTGTAGGCAACTTGGCGTATATAGGTGTAACCATGTCCTTCAACATGGACACTGTGAACTTATTTTGGGGTTGTTTGTTTTTTTCAGTTTCAACTGAAGATGACAATTATGTTCCTAAAGTCTTGACCACGCCAGAACTGCTAATTACCGAATCTGGTAATCATGTGTTCTCATATGTTTGATAAAAATATATACATTATGCTTATTGGTAGATAATGCACTCTTAGTGGCTCCTTAATAAAATAATTTCTGGATTGAACAGAACTTTGAATGACATTCTGATGTATCATAGGTAGAGCTTCACTACACAGATGCATATTATTAGCAGGCAATCTGTTTTTTGTCATGCTACTTTTAGTGTTCATTTTGTTGAGATTTACTGTTTGAAAATTCTTTCACCTTCAATTCAAAATCCATTCTTAAGATATGACTAGTGTCACATGGTATTTTTAATCCTGTACCTGCCTGTCAGAATGTAGTTTAATTCTAGACTGGACTTCCTTTCAGCTTCTTATAAACCAAGCCCGGTTCTGCCAAAGTTTAAAGAACCTGAGTACATCATGCCAGAAGTACCAGACAGAAAACATGGTAGAGTGACTTTTTTTACATGCTTCTTTCCACCATCTAGTATTATTCTACTCTGTTCCTTTCTGAAATGAATAGGAAATCCAGATTTCCTTGAAGTTATAAAATGTATAAGTTCCAAATAAATTCATTCAATCATGAATGTTGTACAAAACTGTATAAAAAGGAACAAAAGTACACATTCAAACTTGAAGATATCAGACCGACCACACCAAGATTTTTCTTGATGGTCCTCTACTGAGATTTAAAATTCATCTAAGACAGTATATTAGTTAGGTGTAGGACTATATACAACATTTCTATTTCAAGATAGAAGGACATATAGGCAACCTGGGGTACATACTGTAGGTGTAACCATGTCCTTCAATGTGGACACTGTGAACTTATTTTGGGGTTGTTTGCTTTTTTCAGTTTCAACTGAAGATGATAATTATCTTTCTAATGTCTTGACCACAACAGAACTTCCAATTACCAAACCCAGTATTTATGTGTTCTCGTATGTTTGACAAAAATATATACAATGTGATTGTTGGTAGAAATTGCACTCTTGGTGGCTACTTAGAAACATGGAGCTTCTGATTGAACATATCTTCTAAAGACATGCCCCATACCATATGCAGAGCTTTAGACATGCATAATATTTGGGGAACATCCACATTTTTTATGCTACTTTAGATCTATATTTTTTCATGGCTTAAGTCCCCTTAGCCTTTGAGAATTATTTCTTCTTCAGTTGAAAATCCTTTCATAGGTTTAGTATCACACTGTATCTTGAATCCTATCACCCTGTCAAATGTAGATTAATTTTAGACTGGACTTCCTTTCAGCCTCTTATAAACCAAGCCCGGTTCCGCCAAAGTTTAAAGAACCCGAGTACATCATGCCAGAAGTACCAGACAGGAAACATGGTAGAGTGACTTTTTTTTCATGCTTCTTTACACCATCTAGTATTATTCTACTCTGTTCCTTTCTGAAATGAATATGAAATCCAGATTTCCTTGAAGTTATAAGATGTGTAAGTTCCAAATAAATTCATTCAATCATGAATGTTGTACAAAACTGTATAAAAAGGAACCAAAGTACACATTCAAACTTGAAGATATCAGACCGACCACACCAAAATTTTTCTTGATGGTCCTCTACTGAGATTTAAAATTCATCTAAGACAGTATATTAGTTAATTGTAGGACTATGTACATTTTTATTTCAAGATATAAGGATGTGTAGGCAACTTGGCGTATATAGGTGTAACCATGTCCTTCAACATGGACACTGTGAACTTATTTTGGGGTTGTTTGCTTTTTTCCAGTTTCAACTGAAGATGACAATTATGTTCCTAAAGTCTTGACCACGCCAGAACTGCTAATTACCGAATCTGGTAATCATGTGTTCTCATATGTTTGATAAAAAATATATACAGTATGCTTGTTGGTAGATAATGCAGTCTTAGTGGCTCCTTAAGAAAATAATTTCTGGATTGAACAGAACTTTGAATGACATTCTGAGGTATCATAGGTAGAGCTTCACTACACAGATGCATATTATTAGCAGGCAATCTGTTTTTTGTCATGCTACTTTTAGTGTTCATTTTGTTGAGATTTACTGTTTGAAAATGCTTTCATCTTCAATTCAAAATCCATTCTTAAGATATGACTAGTGTCACATGGTATTTTTAATCCTGTACCTGCCTGTCAGAATGTAGTTTAATTCTAGACTGGACTTCCTTTCAGCTTCTTATAAACCAAGCCCGGTTACGCCAAAGTTTAAAGAACCCGAGTACATCATGCCAGAAGTACCAGACAGGAAACATGGTAGAGTGACTTTTTTTCATACTTCTTTTTACCACCTAGTATTATAGTACTCTGTTCCTTTCTCAAATGAATATGAAATCCAGACTTCCTTGAAGTTATAAGATGTGTAAGTTCCAAATAAATTCATTCAATCATGAATGTTGTACAAAACTGTATAAAAAGGAACCAAAGTACTCATTCAAACTTGAAGATATCAGACCAGACACCAAAGTCTTCCTTGATGGTCCTCTACTGAGATTTAAAATTCATCTAAGACAGTATATTAGTTAATTGTAGGACTATGCACTATTTCAAGATAGGAGGAAGTGTATGTGTTCTCGTATGTTTGACAAAAATGTATACAGTGTGATTGTTGGTAGAAATTGCACTCTTGGTGGCTACTTAGAAACATGGAGCTTCTGATTGAACATAACTTCTAAAGACTTGCCCCAAACCATATACAGAGCTTTAGACCATATCTGGTAATCATGTGTTTTCATATATTTGATAAAAATATATACAGTATGATTATTGGTAGCTAATGCACTCTTAGTGGATCCTTAGGAACTTCTTATAAACCAAGCCCAGTTCCGCCAAAGTTTAAAGACCCCGAGTACATCATGCCAGAAATACCAGACAGGAAACATGGCAGAGTGACTTTTTTTTACATGCTTCTTTCTACCACATAGTATTACTTTACTCTGTTCCTTTCTGAAATGAACATAAAATCTAGACTTCCTTGAAATTATAAAATTTGTAAGTTCTAATTATACTAATTCCATCATTAATGCTGTAGAAAACTATATAAAATTATTCATATATAAAAAGGAATAGAAGTATTTATTCAAATCAGACCAGGCATATAACAAAATTTTCTTTGATGGTGCTACATTAAAGGATTAAAATTCATCTACAACAATATATTAGTTAATTGTAGGACTATGTATGACTACTCTATTTCAAGGACTTATAGGCAACTTGGGGTACATGGGTGTAATCATGTCCTTCAATATGGACAGTGTGAACTTATTTTGCGGTCGTTTTCTTTTTTCTAGTTTCAACTGAAGATGGTAATTATCTTCCTAAAGTCTTGACTACAACAAAACGTCCAATTACCAAATCTGGTAATTATATGTTCTCATATGTTTGATAAAATTATATGTGGAGTGATTATTGATAGATAATGCACTCATGGCAACTGTTTAGAAACAAGGAGTTTCTGCACTGAACAGAATTCGAAAGGATCATTAGCAGAGGTTTATTGCATAGATGCATAATATTAGCTGACTACATTTTTTCTAATGCTACTTTTTGGGTTCATTTTATTATGATTTAGTCCTTGGGAATTCTTTCTTCTCCCTATCATAATGTAGATTAATTCTAAAATGTTCTTCCTCTCAGTTTCTTACAAGCCAAGCTCAGTTCTCATTTCTTTGGTAAAAAAATTAGCTTGTTTGCTAACTAATAATACATTCCCCAAGGCTACCTAGACAGAAGGATTTCTGGATTGGACAGAACTTTCAAAGACATCCCAGCAGATCATATGCAGTCCTTCACTACAGAGATTCTTTTTTTCATGCTATTTTAGATCTTTATTTTCCCAAGGTTGGACTCCTGTTACACTTTGAAAAGTCTTTCTTCTTCTGTTCAAAATCCTTTCATAAGTTACAATTAGTATCATACAGTATTTTGAATTCATGTACTGCCCTGTCCAAATGTAGATTAATTCTAGAACTGACTTCCTTTCAGTTTCTTATGAACCAACCTCCATTCCTTCCAAAGTTAAGGAACCTGACTACATCCTGCCAGAAGTACCAGACAGGAAACATGGTAGAGTGACTTTTTTATGTACTACTTTCTGATCCATTACAAGATACGTTCTTGCATCTATTGAATGTAATCTTATCCAATGATTAAAGTGTGATTGTTGAAAGATAATGCACTTCCAGTGGCTACTTAGAAACGAGAAGTTTCTGGACTGAAAATAAGTTCAAAAGACATGTCTGCAGATCATACTCAGAGTTTTGCTATAGATATGGATAGTATTTTCATGCTACTTTAGACTTTTATTTTGACTCCTGTTACAGTTTGAGAAGTCTTTCTTCTTCAGTTCAAAATCCTTTCAGAAGTTACAATTAGTATCATACAGTATTTTGAATCCTATATCTACCAATCAAAATGTAGATTAATGCTAGACATAACTTCCTTTCAGTTTCTTATGAACCAACCTCCATTCCTTCCAACGTTAAGGAACCTGGCTATATCCTTCCAGAAGTACCAGAAAGGAAACATGGTAGAGTGACTTTTTTAACGTACTATTTCCTGTTCTTTAAGTAGATAAGTTATGAATCTATATCGTATAATCTTATGAAATGGATTTATGAAATCCAGACACCCTGGAACTCATTACCTGAATACGTTATAAGTATATTATTCAATCATGAATTTTCTACCCCACTGAGTAGAAGGGTATTGCACATTCCAGCAAGAATACAGCACACCCTACAAACCAAAATTTCCTTTGGCCATCCTGTACAGAGGATTGAAACTATCTAAGACAATACACTTCATAGTCCAGTCATGCCCAACAATTCCATTTTAGCATGAAAGAGGTGTTAGGTACCTTGACATGTATTGGTGTAACCATGTCTTTCAATATGGATATTGTGAACTTATTTCGGGGTTGTTTCTTTTTTCCAGTTTCAACTGAAGATGATAATTATCTTCCTAAAATCGTGACCACAACAGAACGTCCAATTACCAAACATGGTAATTATGTTTGATAAAATTATATGTGGAGTGATTGTTGGTAGATAATGCCCTCCTGGCAGCTGCTTAGAAACGCAGAGTTTCTGCATTGAATAGAATTTGAAAGACATGTCCGCAGATCATATCTAGAGCATCATTAAACAGATGCATAGTATTAGACAACCATATGTTTCTTGTCATGCTACTTTGATGTTCATTTTCCTGAAATTACCATTACCAGATATGACTAATATCACACAATATTGAGAACCCTGTATCTCCCTGTCAGATTGCAGACTAATTCTATACTGAACTTCCTTTCAGTTTCTTATAAACCAAGCCCTGTTTCATCAACATTTAAAGAACCCAGCTACATCTCACCAGAAGTAACAGACACAAAACATGGTAGAGTGATTTTTTTATGTACTACTTTATTTTTGTTTGCAAGATAAATTTTTGCATCTATCTAGTGTACTTTTATCCAATGGGTTTACGAAATACAGATATTTTGGAAATTACTATATGCAGTTCTAAGTACATTATTCAATCATGAATTCTCTACAACATTTAGTGGAATCGAAGTGCACTTTTCAACCAGAAGACCGGAGATGGTCCACCCAAATTTGTCCTTGAAGATCAACTATGGAAATTTAAAATACTTCTAAGACTCTATATTGCTTCATAGTAGGATCATGCCTCAAAATTGCATTTTCAGATGGAAGAGCTCTTAGGCAAATTGCAATATATATGTGAAACCATGCCCTTCAATATGAACCTTTTGAAATTATTTTGGGTTCTTTGTTTTTTTCTAGTTTCCATTGAGGATGATAATTATCTTCCTAAAGTCTTGACCACGCCAGAACTGATAATTACTGAATCTGGTAATCATGTGTTCTCATATGTTTGATGAAAATATATACAGTATGATTATTGGTTGATAATGCACTCTTGGTGGCTCCTTACGAAAATAATTTCTGGATTGAATAGAACTTTGAATGACATTCTGATGTATCATAAGTAGCGCTTTACTACACTGATGCATGTTATTAGCAGGTAATCTGTTTTTTGTCATGGTACTTTTAGTGTTCACTTTGTTGAGATTTACTGTTTGAGAATTCTTTCACCTTCAATTCAAAATCCATTCTTGAGATATGACTAGTGTCACATGGTATTTTTAATCCTGTACCTCCCTGTCAGAATGTAGTTTAATTCTAGACTGGACTTCCTTTCAGCTTCTTATAAACCAAGCCTGGTTTTGCCAAAGTTTAAAGAACCCGAAACCATATGCAGAGCTTTAGACATGCATAGTATTCATGGAATATCCTCATTTTTTCATGCTACTTTAGATTTATATTTTCCAAAGGTTTAAGTCCCCTTAGGCTTTGAGAACTATTTCTTCTTCAGTTGAAAATCTTTTCATAAGTTTATTATCACACTGTGTCTTGAATCCTATATCACCCTGTCAAATGTAGATTAATTTTAGACTGGACTTTCTTTCAGCTTCTTATAAACCAAGCTTATTTTACGGTCGTTTTCTTTTTTCTAATTTCAACTGAAGATGGTATTTATCTTCCTAAAGTCTTGACTACAACAAAACGTCCAATTACCAAATCTGGTAATTATATGTTCTCATATGTTTGATAAAATTATATGTGGAGTGATTATTGATAGATAATGCACTCATGGCAACTGTTTAGAAACAAGGAGTTTCTGCACTGAACAGAATTCCAAAGGATCATTAGCAGAGGTTTATTGTATAGATGCATAGTATTAGCTGACTACATTTTTTCTGATGCTACTCTTTGGGTTCATTTTATTATGATTTAGTCCTTGGGAATTCTTTCTTCCCCCTATCATAATGTAGATTAATTCTAAAATGGTCTTCCTTTCAGTTTCTTACAAGCCAAGCTCAGTTCTCATTTCTTTGGTAAAAGTTTTAGCTTGTTTGCTAACTAATAATACATTCCCCAAGGCTACCTAGACAGAAGGATTTCTGGATTGGACAGAACTTTCAAAGACATCCCAGCAGATCATATGTAGTCCTTTGCTACAAGCTTCTTTTTTTCATGCTGTTTTAGATCTTTATTTTCCCAAGGTTGGACTCCCATTACACTTTGAAAAGTCTTTCTTCTTCCGTTCAAAATCCTTTCATAAGTTACAATTAGTATCATACAGTATTTTGAATTCATGTACTGCCCTGTCCAAATGTAGATTAATTCTAGAACTGACTTCCTTTCAGTTTCTTATGAACCAACCTCCATTCCTTCCAAAGTTAAGGAACCTGACTACATCCTGCCAGAAGTACCAGACAGGAAACATGGTAGAGTGACTTTTTTATGTACTACTTTCTGATCCATTACAACATAAGTTCTTACATCTATCGAATGTAATCTTATCCAATGAGCTTACAAAATCCAAAAATTCTGGAAATCATTACATGCATAAATTCCAAGTATATTATTCAATTATGAATGTGCTACAACACTAAATAGAATATAAGTGCACTTTCCAGCCAGAAAATGGCACTCCTTACAACCCAAAATTTCTCTTGATCCTCAGAATGGAAAATTAAAATCCTTGTAAGTCATTTTGTTTTTCATAGCAGGGTCATGCCTAACAATTCTATGCTAAGATGAAAAGAGGTGTTAGTCAACTTGACATATAAAGATGGAACCATGTGCTTCAGTATGGACATTGTGAAATTATTTTGAGGTTCTTTGTTTTGTTCCAGTTTCAAATGAAGATGATAATTATCTTCCTAAAGTATTTAAAACATCAGAACTCCCAATTTCCAAACCTGGCAATTATGTGTTCTCATATCTTGATAAAAATGTTTAAAGTGTGATTGTTGAAAGATAGTGCACTTCCAGTGGCTACTTAGAAAAAAGAAGTTTCTAGATAGAAAATAAGTTCAAAAGACATGCCTCCAGATCATACACAGAGTTTTGCTATAGAGATGGATAGTATTTGGAGAACATCTACTTTTTCATGCTACTTTAGACTTTTATTTTGACTGTCATTACACTTTGAGAAGTCTTTCTTCTTCAGTTCAAAATCCTTTCATATAAATGATTAGTATTACAAAGAATTTGAATATCTACCAGTCAAAAAGTAGATTAACGCTAGACATAACTTCCTTTCAGTTTCTTATGAACCAACTTCCATTCCTTCCATCGTTAAGGAACCTGACTATATCCTGCCAGAAGTACCAGAAAGGAAACATGGTAGAGTGATTTTTTTAACGCACTATTTCCTAATCCTTAACTAGATAAATTATGAATCTATATCGTATAATCTTATGAAATGGATTTATGAAATCCATACACTCTGGAACTCATTACCTGAATACGTTATAAGTATATTATTCAATCATGAATTTTCTACCCCACTGAGTAGAATGGTATTGCACTTTCCAACAAGAATACAGCACACCCTACAAACCAAAATTTCCTTTGGCCATCCTGTACAGAGGATTGAAACTATCTAAGACAATGCACTTCATAGTCCAGTCATGCCCAACAATTCCATTTTAACATGAAAGAGGTGTTAGGTACCTTGACATGTATAGGTGTAACCATGTCCTTCAATATGGACACTGTGAACTTATTTTGCGGTTGTTTCTTTTTTCCAGTTTCAACTGAAGATGATAATTATCTTCCTAAAGTCTTGACCACAACAGAACATCCAATTACCAAACATGGTAATTATGTGTGATAAAATTATATGTGGAGTGATTGTTAATATATAATGCACTCTTGGTGGCTGCTTAGAAATGCAGAGTTTCTGCATTGAACAGAATTTGAAAGACATGAACACAGATCATATCTAGAGCTTCATTACACAAATGCATAGTATTAGACAACCATATGTTTCTTGTCATGCTTCTTTTGATGTTCATTTTCCTGAAATTACCCATTTTCCTTTGAGAATTCATTCTTCCTCAGTTCGAAATTCTTTTGTCAGGAATGACTAATATCACACAGTATTGAGAACCCTGTATCTCCCTGTCAGATTGCAGACTAATTCTATACTGAACTTCCTTTCAGTTTCTTATAAACCAAGCCCTCTTCCATCAACATTTAAAGAACCCAGCTACATCCCACCAGAGGTACCAGACACAAAACATGGTAGAGTGATTTTTTTATGTACTACTTTATTTTCGTTTACAAAATAAGTTTTTGCATCTATCTAGTGTACTTTTATCCAATGGGTTTACGAAATACAGACATTTTGGAAATTACTATATGCAGTTCTAAGTACATTATTCACTCATGAATTCTCTACAACATATAGTGGAATCGAAGTGCACTTTTCAACCAGAAGACCGTGGATCATCCCCCCAAAATTGTCCTTGAAGATCAACTATGGAAAATTAAAATACTTCTAAGACTCTATATTTCTTCATAGTAGGATCACACCTGAAAATTCCATTTTCAGATGGAAGAGCTCTTAGGCAAATTGCAATATATATGTGAAACCATGCCCTTCAATATGAACCTTTTGAAATTATTTTGGGTTCTTTGTTTTTTTCTAGTTTCAACTGAGGATGATAATTATGTTCCTAAAGTCTTCACCACGCCAGAACTACTAATTACCAAATCTGGTAATCATGTGTTCTCATATGTTTGATAAAAATATATACAGTATACTTATTGGTAGATAATGCACTCTTGGTGGCTCCTTAGGAAAATAGTTTCTGGATTGAATGACTTTGAATGACATTCTGATGTATCATAAGTAGAGCTTCACTACACTGATGCATATTATTAGCAAGTAATCTGTTTTTTGTCATGGTACTTTTAGTGTTCATTTTGTTGAGATTTACTGTTTGAAAATTCTTTCATCTTCAATTCAAAATCCTTTCTTAAGAAATGACTAGTGTCACATGGTATTTTTAATCCTGTACCTCGCTGTCAGAATGTAGTTTAATTCTAGACTGGACTTCCTTTCAGCTTCTTATAAACCAAGCCCGGTTCCGCCAAAGTTTAAAGAACCCGAGTACATCATGCCAGAAGTACCAGACAGGAAACATGGTAGAGTGACTATTTTTTTCATGCTTCTTTCTACCATCTAGTATTATTCTAATCTGTTCCTTTCTGAAATGAATATGAAATCCAGACTTCCTTGAAATTATAAAATTCATAAGTTCTAAATATATTCATTCTATAATTAATGCTGTAGAAAACTATATAAAATTATTCATTTATAACAAGGAATAGAAATGTTTATTGAAATCAGACCAGGCATACCAAAATTTTCTTTGATGGTGGTACATTAAAGGATTAAAATTCATCTACAACAATATATTAGTTAATTGTAGGACTATGTACGACTACTATATTTCAAGGACTTATAGGCAACTTGGGGTACATAGGTGTAACCATGTCCTCCAATATGGACAGTGTGAACTTATTTTGCAGTCATTTCCTTTTTTCCAGTTTCAACTGAAGATGATAATTATCTCCCTAAAGTCTTGACTACAACAAAATATCCAATTACCAAATCTGGTAATTATACATTCTCATATGTTTGATAAAATTATATGTGGAGTGATTGTTGATAGATAATGCACTCATGGCAACTATTTAGAAACAAGGAGTTTCTGCACTGAACAGAATTTGAAAGGATCATTAGCAGAACTTCATGCATAGATGCATAGTATTTCCAGACTACATTTTTTCTGATGCTACTTTTTGGGTTCATTTTATTATGATTTAGTCCTTGGGAATTCTTCCTTCTCCCTATCATAATGTAGATTAATTCTAAAATGGTCTTCCTTTCAGTTTCTTACAAGCCAAGCTCAGTTCTCATTTCTTTGGTAAAAATTTTAGCTTGTTTGCTAACTAATAATACGTTCCCCAAGGCTACCTAGACAGAAGGATTTCTGGATTGGACAGAACTTTCAAAGACATCCCAGCAGATCATATGCAGTCCTTCACTACAGAGACTCTTTTTTTCATCCTGTTTTAGATCTTTATTTTCCCAAGGTTGGACCCTCATTACACTTTGAAAAGTCTTTCTTCTTCCGTTCAAAATCCTTTCATAAGTAACAATTAGTATCATACAGTATTTTGAATTCATGTACTGCCCTGTCCAAATGTAGATTAATTCTAGATATGACTTCCTTTCAGTTTCTTATGAACCAACCTCCACTCCTTCCAAAGTTAAGGAACCTGACTATATCCTGCTAGAAGTACCAGACAGGAAACATGGTAGAGTGACTATTTTATGTACTACTTTCTGATCCATTACAAGATAAGTTCTTCCATCTATTGAATGTAAACTTATCCAATGATTAAAGTGTGATTGTTGAAAGATAATGCACTTCCAGTGGCTACTTAAAAACAAGAAGTTTCTGGACTGAAAATAAGTTCAAAAGACATGTCTGCAGATCATACGCAGTTTTGCTATAGATATGGATAGTATTTGAAGAACATCCACTATTTTCATGCTACTTTAGACTTTTATTTTGACTCCTGTTACAGTTTGAGAAGTCTTTCTTCTTCAGTTCAAAATCCTTTCATAAGTTACAATTAGTATCATACAGTATTTTGAATCCTATATCTACCAGTCATAATGTAGATTAATGCTAGACATAACTTCCTTTCAGTTTCTTATGAACCAACCTCCATTCCTTCCAACGTTAAGGAACCTGGCTATATCCTTCCAGAAGTACCAGAAAGGAAACATGGTAGAGTGACTTTTTAACGTACTATTTCCTGTTCTTTAAGTAGATAAGTTATGAATCTATATCGTATAATCTTATGAAATGGGTTTATGAAATCCATACACTCTGGAACTCATTACCTGAATATGTTATAAGTATATTATTTAATCATGAATTTTCTACCTCACTGAGTAGAATGGTATTGCACTTTCCAACAAGAATACAACACACCCTACAAACCAAAATTTCCTTTGGCCATCCTATACAGAGGATTGAAACCATCTAAGACAATACACTTCATAGTCCAGTCATGCCCAACAATTCCATTTTAACATGAAAGTGGTGTTAGGTACCTTGACATGTATAGGTGTAACCATGTCTTTCAATATGGATATTGTGAATTTATTTTGGGGTTGTTTCTTTTTTCCAGTTTCAACTGAAGATGATAATTATCTTCCTAAAATCTTGACCACAACAGAACGTCCAATTACCAAACCTGGTAATTATGTGTGATAAAATTATATGTGGAGTGATTGTTAATATATAAGGCTACTGAGAATGCAGAGTTTCTGCATTGAACAGAATTTGAAAGACATGTCCGCAGATCATATCTAGAGCTTCATTACACAAATGCATAGTATTAGACAACCATATGTTTCTTGTCATGCTTCTTTTGATGTTCATTTTCCTGAAATTACCCATATTCCTTTGAGAATTCTTTCTTCCATCAGAAATTACTAATATCACACAGTATTGAGAACCCTGTATCTCCCTGTTAGATTGCATACTAACTCTATACTGAACTTCCTTTCAGTTTCTTATAAACCAAGCCCTGTTCCATCAACATTTAAAGAATCCAGCTACATCACACCAGAAGTACCAGATACAAAATATGGTAGAGTGATTTTTTTATGTACTACTTTATTTTCATTTACAAGATACATTTTTGCATCTATCTAGTGTACTTTTATCCAATGGGTTTATGAAATACAGACATTTTGGAAATTACTATATGCAGTTCTAAGTACATCATTCAGTAATGAATTCTCTACCATACTTAGTGGAATCGAAGTGCACTTTCCAACCAGAAGACAGTGGATCATCCACCCAAAATTGTCATTGAAGCTCAACTCTGGAAAATTAAAATACTTCTAAGACTCTATATTTCTTCATAGTAGGATCACACCTGAAAATTCCATTTTCAGATGAAAGAGCTCTTAGGCAAATTGCAATATATATGTGAAACCATGCCCTTCAATATGAACATTTTGAAATTATTTTGGGTTCTTTGCTTTTTTCCCAGTTTCAACTGTGGATGATAATTGTATTCCTAAAGTCTTGACCACACCAGAACTGCTAATTACCAAACCTGGTAATCATGTGTATTCATACGTTTCATAAAAATGTATGCAGTGTGATTATTGGTAGATAATGCACTCTAGGTGGCTCCTTAAGAAAATAGTTTCTTGACTGAACAGAAGTTTAAAAGACATTCTGATGTATCATAGGTAGAGCTTCACTACACAGATACATAATATTAGCAGGCAATCTGTTTTTTCTCGTACTACTATTGGTGTTCATTTTATTGAGATTTACAGTTTCAGAATTCTTCTTCAGTTCAAAATCCTTTCTTAAGATATGACTAGTGTCACATGGTATTTTTAATACTGTACCCTCTTATCAGAATGTAGATTAATTCTAGACTGGACTTCCTTTCAGCTTCTTATAAACCAAGCCTGCTTCCGCCAAAGTTTAAAGAACCCGAGTACATCATGCCAGAAGTACCGGACAGGAAACATGGTAGAGAACTTTTTTTGTACATGCTTCTTTCTACCTCTGGAATTTATCTAGTATATTCCTTCCTGAAATGAACATAAAATCCATACTTCCTTGAAGTTATAAAATGCCTAAGTTCTAAATATATTTATTCAATCATAAATACTGTAGAAAACTGTGTAAAAGGAATAGAAGTACACATTCAAAACTGAAAATATCAGACCAGGCACACCAAAATTGATGGTCCTCCACTGATGATTAAAATTAATCTACGACAATATATTAGTTAACTGTAGGACCTATACAACATTTCTATTTCAAGATAGAAGAACTTGTAGGCAACATGGGGTACATAGGTGTAAACATGTTTTTCAATATGGACGCAGTGAACTTATTTTGGGGTTATTTGCTTTTTTTCAGTTTCAACTGAAGATTATAATTATCTTCCTAAAGTCTTGTCCACAACAGAACGTCCAATTACCAAACCTGGTAATTATGTATTTTCATATGTTTGATAAAATTATATGCATAGTGATCGTTGGTAGCAAATGCACTCCTGGCAGCTGTTTAGAAACAGGTTTTGTACCAAACAGAACTTTGAAAGACATGCTCGCAGATCATAGGTGGAACGTCATTACACAGATGCTTAGTATTAGAAGACCATATATTTCTTCTCATGCTACCTTTGATTTTCATTTTCCTGAAATTACTCATTACCCTTTGATAATTCTTTCTTTCTCAGTTCAAAATTCTTTCATCAAGATTAATATCACATTGTTTTTTGAACCCTGTATCTCCCTGTCAGAATGCAGACTAATTCTGTACTGAACTTTCTTTCAGTTTGTTATGAATCAAGCCCTGTTCCACCAAAATTTAAAGTTCCTGGCTACATCATTGCTGAAATACCAGACATGATATATAGTAGAATTTTTTTTTTACGTTCTACGTTCTGATACTTTACAAGATAAGTTCTTGCATTTATCTAGTGTAACCTTATCCAATGGGTTTATGAAATCCAGACATTCTGGAAATCATTACGTGCATATGTTCTACATATATTATTCAACCATGAGTGTTCCACAACATTGAGTAAAATGGAAGTGCACTTTCCAATCAGAAGAAAATACATCCTAGAAACCAAAATTTCCTTTGATTATCTTTTATGGAGGATTAAAACCCATCTAAGACAATATATTTCTTCAGAGTACGATCATGCCTAACAATTCCATTTTAATATGAAAGACTTCTTAGACATACTGTATATATAGGTGCAGCCATGTCCTTCAACATGGACAATGTGAACTTATTTTGGGGTTGTTTCTTTTTTCCAGTTTCAACTGAGGATGATAATTATCTTCCTAAAATCTTGACCAGAACAGAACTCCCAATTACCAAACCTGGTAATTATATTTTGTCATATGTTAGGTAAAATCAAATACAGTTTGTTATTGCCTCATAATACAATTGAACATAACTTTTTAAAACATCCCTTTGGATCATATAAAGAGCTTCACTACACCGATGCATAGTATTAGCAGACCATCCACTTTTGTTCGTGTTACTTAGATCTTTATTTTCCCAAGGGTTTAATCCCCATTACCCTTTGAGAATCTCTCTTTTTCAGTTCAAAATCCTTTCATATGATATGATTAATAACACATGGTATTTTGAAAGTTGTATCTTCCTGTCAGAATGTAGTTTAAATCTAGATTGACTTCCTTTCAGCTTCCTATGAATCAAGCCCTGCTCCATCAAAATTTAAAGAACCTGACTATATCCTTTCAGAAGTACCAGACAGGAAACATGGTAGAGTGATTTTTTTTATTTACTTCCTTCCGTATTACTACAAGAAGTTCTTGAACCTATCTCGCATAATCTTATCCAATAGCAATATAAAGTCAGTACTTCCTTGAAATTATAAAATATATAAATTCTAAATATTGTGATCCAATACTGAATGTTCTACAACACCCTGAATGTCCCCTTTATAGAATGGGAACAAAGGTAAACTTCATAATCTGAAGACATCTACCCTATACACTAAATCTTCCTATGATAGTCCATATAGAAAAATAAAAACATCTGAGATAATATATTTCTTCATCTTCAGGTCACGCATTTTATGATACAACACTTCTGATTCACATTTGTAAAATATTAAAATTATGAACCACCTCTGAGGCATCTTGGGGTACATAGATATAACCATGTCCAATTTCGACTTACTGAATTTATTTTGGGTTGGTTGTTTTTTTTTTTCTATTTTCAACTGGGGCTTATAATTATCTTTGTAAACTCTTGAGCATGCCATAACTTCCATTTACTAATCCTGATAATTACATATTGTTTATACATTCAATAAAATTGTTTTCAGTGTGATTCTTAGAAGATAGGTAGGTTATACATTCCTGGCAGCTACTTAGACATAGAGATTTTCTGGATTGAACACAACTTTGGAAGATGTTTGCTCAGATGCATTAATTTTTATCAGTTTCTAATTTTAGTTTCTAGGATTATGTATAAATTTCTGTCTTTAAAGCTACAATATTTTTTTCTGTTTGTAAATTAGTTCTGTAGTTACAGCCATTCTTAAAGGTTTTCCATATTCTAATAGTTCCCTTTTTTCCCTGGTACAGTTTTGGAACCTATTACGTTTAGCAATGAACTTCCAATAGTAGGTAATAGTGTTTTCCTGGCACACTGATTGATTTTCTTATTTTACTTTCTTGTTTAGAAATCCATTACATTTTCTTTTCTGTAAGATCATCTAACATCATCTTTTTTTTTTCATTAAATCCCATCCTTTCTCTAGGTTTGCTAGTCATTTAGCACGGAAGACTTTTAACCATTCTATTTATTTTTTCCACAGTACTGCTTTTTCTTTCTTTTCTTGCACAGTGATTCAGTCATGTGAATATAGCTGGAAGTGGCCATATTATACGCAGTGAACTCCCACGTGTTTGTAATTTCCATTTCTTTTTTAAGCTGGCTCCTGAAATGTTCATCAATCACTAATTTTATGTATGTATTGAGCCTACTCTTTCTCAACCCTTTTGTGTGGCTGATTTTGTACACTTCATATCCACAGCATGTTTCTTCACCTTCACTTTCATCTTCACCTTCAATTTTAAAATGCCCGATCTGACCTTATTTACATCTTAATAATTTTGAAGATATTTTTTTCTTTTGCAGATGCAAAGACCAAGCATCATATTTCCATCACTAAAACAACAATCAACCCACTGCTACTACCAATATCTGGTAAAATTCTATATTGTTATTTAAATTCTCTACATGTGTCAATGTCTGCATTAAAAAAAACCTACGTAATTTGAGAATAAAATTTTATTAGTTTTGTCCTTTTAGCAGTGAGTTCTTTTTTATTAAATTTGTCTCTAAAAGGTCTATAAGAGAAAGTAATCCAAGAAAAAAACAACAATCAGTAATAATCAATAATAGGAAATCTGGCCCATACTCTTCTCATGGAACCAAAAGCAACAGCTACTCAATCAGGGTAGGACTGAACTAAACTTATTTTTTCCCTTCAGACACCCATAGTCTTCAGACACGTGACATAACCTCAACAACTTTCACTTGTTTGAGTGGGGACAGATTTATACAGTTGAGTGTGTCATCAGAATACTGATGATGTTTTACCAACCCCCCTTGATTTCATGTAGATGTTAAAAAGAAGCAGGGATAGCATAGAGCTAGACCATTCTTATCCACCAAAACCAACTTCAGAGGAAGAAGAACCACCGCAACATAATACATCCCACTTTAAAACCCCTAGCCAGGTCTATAGATAAGAGTTATATATGTATTTAATTATGCAAAGAATTCTTCTCTAATGACTGGTAACCAACAGTGTTCTAGCATGAAATGGAGGCATTTTTATTTACAATCTGAGCCACAAATCTATCACTGAAACTGTAAGTCTATCAATGTATTGAATATCAAATAGGGTGTTCTCAGACTTTATAAGTGACTTCTTAGAAACTTGTAAAAGCTTCTTTGGAAATATGGAAGTTAGGAAAGTCCTATTTTGCAAAAATATTCTTGCTTGTAGTTATTTAGATTCATATCAATAACAATAATATTTCTAAATCTAATTATGCCAAATGAATTTCTAGTAAGAAAACCTCATTTTAGTATCTTTGCCCAGGCACAATAATTACTTCCAAATAAAACATTGCCTATTTTATTTCTTTTCCCAGCTTTTCTATGCATTAAAATCTATTTATTTATTAAAATGTATGCCCCATCTTTTATACAACATTCAGTGTTTACCATGAATAAAAATACACATTTTAAAACATAAAAATAAAAAAACAATTAATTTTATATCAATTTTATTCGAATCTAAATCAGTTCAACTAACAAACATTTAGTGGGAAAATTGGTTTTTCATGACTAAGTCCTGGGAGATTGGAAGCCAAGTGTGCTTCCTGGAAATGTACATTATAACTTGAGATGTGTGCATGTTATCACCCTTTCCAAAGAACCAACTAGGTGAATTATTGAAAGTGAGATGATTCTCAAAAGGGCCTCTTCTGATAATCAATGTAGCCAGCTTGGATTCATAAAAGGAGACATGGTATTTCAGGGAACAAGATACAGCTTTAGCTTTTCTAGAAGGAACAGTGAGGTCTTTGGTGGTTTCTGATTTTGGTTGTTTTCTTTCCATAGAAAGCCCACCACCTCTTCCCTGTCTGTTACTACAAATGCAACTTAAAAGACTTGCAAAGATCTTTTGTGTTTGAATAGTGTCATCATTAACAGTAGCCATTGAATCCATTCCTTTAATCTGCACATAGATTTAAACTATTTTATACAAGAATTTTATTTGTCTTTTAAATTCTATGAGATACACTTTGTTCACACATGGTAAATATGCCAGTCAGTATACAGCCCAAGGGTGTATACAGCCCAGGGATGTAAACCTCAGACCAGCACTTAAGTGCCCCAGCCTTAGCATGGTAAATCCCTATTTATCTTGTGTCAATACATTGATCGTGTTGGTGTTTTATTTTTTTGGCCATAGCTTGGAATTCTTTTCCTGAGAGTATGATTCAATACTTAAAGAAATCTAAGACATCCAAGCTATACTGTATAATCAGCATCATATGTTCTCCTAATAGTATTGTATGTTATAGTATATTGCCATTGCATCACATTATGTTTTCATTAGCATTAACTGAAAACAGCAAGAAAAATATTCTATGCCCTTAAAGAAATGTACAGTAGTTTTATTTTTACACTGAAAATAATATAGGGAAAAAATCAGATACTAAAGGATGTTAATGATTGCTCACTGCAAGAATTAGATGATGAAAATACTTTCTCAATAATTTTTGATAGATGGAAGTGCTAATTTGTTTAATGAATGTTTGCACCCCATGGTTATTAAGCTAGATATACACATAGTGCAGCTTCAAAAAGTTACAATTGTAGGTGGAAAAAAGGCAAGCATCTATATTTCAGTCTGAGAATGTTTCAGGTAAATGGAATTAACTCTGGGATGAGTATATGTTATACAAAATGGAATCAGAATTATATTCTAACTAATAAAGTCAATCTGTATATTCCCCATCATTCATAAAATCTTTCTAAACAAACAAATGCATTTCTATCATTTTATGCTCATAACAATAAGGAATGATCATACATATGCAAATACATAATAAGAGCATCAGAAACAATCCAGTATACAGTATATTACAGCTGCACATTGATTGGTATTCAAAAAGGCAAAAGAATAGAGTGGAGTACCCCTGTTCACCCTTTCTTAAAGCAATTGCATGTTTTTCTAGCACTGGCTGGTAATTCTCAGCACAATTCTGGGAAAATAAATATTTGGTTTAAAAAGTTACAGACAGAGCTAAATTATCTATTTGCCTCTGAGTGCAGTGCTCTGTATATTAGTAAAATAACTGTCTAATCAATGTTTATTTTTCATATACTCAGAAGACATACTTATGCTCCAGATCCAGCTTGTTACTGAAACTTGATCTAATAAAATATGCATATTTCATTAAATGCTATACCTGAATGAAACCGAAATATATTTTTCATGTTAGGTTGCAAATTATTTACAATATAATACTGAATGTTTTTTATTTTATTTATTGATATTGTTGATGCAGATGTAGAAGAGGTTATTTTTAAAACTGAACAAGCAAAATCATCAACAGGTAATATACTTAATTATAGATTTTCAGATGTTTTAAAAATTTCAAATAATGAGAATTCTATATCTAGTGAGATGTTATCACATTTATCATCCTATTAGCTTTTCATTTAAAATTCTTCATTATTAATGCCTTTTTCAAATTATTATTAAATTGTGTAGCCGTAGAGTACGTATCAGTAGTGGAATAAGACCAGTGCTTTTTTTCTAAAAAAAAAAAAAAAAAAAGTGCCGGAACTCACACACGTCATACAACCCGCTTTGCCTACCCTATAAGGTTCCATCCAAAAAAGGTGCTGTAACTCCGTTCTGGGCATTCTATGAGAAAAAAAGCCCTGAATAAGACAATTGTTTAAGTGCAATCTCAAGTTCATGAGCTTGCGGGAATGTCTGCTGGCATAAAATTGTGCCTTACAAGGCTGGCAAAGGATACTTGTTTCAATGCAAGAAAAGTTATGGAAGTGTTTATGGAATCCCTGATTCCACTCTCATTTTTCCACTTGCAGTGAGAAAACTAACAACTAATATCTCTTCTTAAGATACAGTGAATAAGTAAGAATAAATATGGTTATGTATAGGTGACTGTCTTAAGTCTCCGTCAAGTTGTCTAACTAACAGGTTTCAGTTCTGGATGATACTTGTGTCTCAGGCTGTTTCAGAACTCAGGCCTGACATTCAGCTGAAAGAAATATTATATTTCTATTTAGAAACAGCTCAGGTGACAAGTCAAAATGTGGGTGAGACAAGTTGGGGTGGAGGATTAGAAGTGAGCTCTTGACCATTGCTGCAGTAGGATGGCAGTGCCAGCAACAAGTGGTTGTGACTGTCAGCATTTGGAAGTTGCCCATGAAGTAGTCAAAGTTACACAGATGTAGGTAGAAAAGTGCCCTCAGGTAATAAATGATTAGAATGTAACACACACATTAGTGACAGAATCAGGAATACACAGCTAGAATAAAGCAGGCTATCTATGGTTCAAACTGACTTTTACTGACTGGGAGTGAAAGACACTCCTCAGGAGAATTATTTTTAAATACAGGTATAGTTTTCTCTCAAAACTATATCTGTATTTACTACCATGTCTACATGTATGTCTTTCAGTCAGAAGACCATGTAAGATTTGAAAAGCAATCAGACATTCATAGACCTCACTTGACCTCAAATGTTTTTATTTATCTTACTTGTCACTTGATGAAATAGCTCCCTTGGGTAAGAGCTCACAAAGCTGTGTTAACACATTGTTTTACTTAGCCACGCCACTGTTTTTATTTAAATAATGGAAAGGAGCCTGGGAGATGGTTTCTCTTGTCTAGACCTCAAATCCCATTGCATCTAGTTCAGATAATTAATATTGTATTTTAGTTTTTGGAATTTCATCTTTTTTTAATCAGGATGTTTATAACAATACTCATGTTTACAGTACTTATAGATGCTACAGGTCACATTATTATTACTTATTTTTATTGGATATAGCTATACTAGTCTCCCACTAACTCTTTGTCAGCCGCAAAATTTTAAATTATATATACACACACACACACACACACACACACACACACACACACACACACACATACATAGATACATATACATATATCCAATAAAATTTTATTGTAGAACTGTTTGTCTGAATTCTCTGTAGTTCGGAATATTAAAGTAAAAAAAAACAGTCCCTCGTATAATTTCTTACAGCTCCTAAGGAAACACATCGAGTTCCAACCAGACCAAAAACTTCTTCCAGTCCTGATATAACCCCAACCAAATCCAGTGAGTAGTTCATTATTTCGACTTTCAGGAATCTTGTATTCAGATATATTTAACAGAGTTGCATCTTACATAATCACATAAAATAATGTGGAAAAAAGCACATATCTGTTTATAAAAGTAAAATGAAAAATTGAAAGTGTCTCTGTTCGTATTGGTGTGAGAAAGAGAGAGAGAGAGAGAGAGAGAGAGAGAGAGAGAGAGAGAGAGAGAGAGAGAGAGAGAGAGAGAGAGTGAGAGAGTTGCATTTCAACATACAAATAATGTTGGGAAAAACACATTGTAAAATCAAAATTAGTTTACTTTTCTGTAAAAATAGTTTCTTACTCAGAATTAGCAGCAACTCTGTATTCCTTTTCTTATCTGTTAAAATATAGAACAGACATGCCAGCAGAATAAAAAAGAAAAGAATGAACTCATTCTTAGCAACCAGAATAACATTTTTCCTTTCTAACCACATTTTTGGCTATTAAACGAGTTTCTTTTTTTGTAACTTCTAATGTAAAAGACATTTCCAGTTTTATAAAATAGCCAAAAGGTTGTCTTTGCTATTAACCTAAATAATTTCTTCTGATTTAAGCATTTTTACAACTTGGGTTATACTCAGAATACTTTTAACATGAGAACATTGCACAACAGATGTAATGTTAACCTTCCATTCTATATACTTAAATCAGTACTAATTTAGCTATTGTATGTTTTCTATTTGAATGGGAATATACATTTTCCCCTTTAAATTAATATAAAAAGATTTCTAATATAATTTGAACTGACTAGTAAGAATTTTTCAAATGAAGTTGAAAAGTTCAGATTATTTACTTAATAAAAAAACTTTTTCAAGCTTTATCTATTTGCTTTCAACTAATGAAACAACCACCACAGAATCATATTCCCTAAAAACCCAGATGAGTTGCAAATGCCAGCATTTTTATCAGATTAAGCAGCAAAATAGAATCTCACTAGGGATAAATAATTGTAAATGTTCTTATTTTCCATTTTCCTGAGGAAACTGAAGTTCTGGAAATGTATCTATTGAAAGGATGAATTGAAAATTGCTGCCATTATGTCATAGGCAGACATGGTCTCTGCCATACACAAAGATACATTGCAAAGAGAGTTTCTATGACAAGCTCCTGTAATTTAGATGGAAAAAATATTGTTTTTTCTGCTCTTAATATAGAGTACTCTAGCTGGTATCCACTACATTTAATTAGAATGAATCTTCTCAGAATTTGTACACAAATGAAAAAATAGTATAGGAATTATTTCTGATCCAAAAGGAATTCAAGTGACATCATCCTTCTTCCAAGAAAAAATAAAATAGTCTGGTGTCAGATTTGCAATCTAGACTAGAATTTGTTAATCCAGAAAATAAAATTTAAAACTATAAGTAAAGCAGCAAAACACTTATCCATTTCTTTCTAGTTCTTCTTGTCTCTCTTGTGAATTCTTTTGTGAATTCTATTTACTAGTTTTTGTAATAGCTATTTCTTGAATCACTATAATAAATAATTCTCACAAAAGGACATCAATTCATATCGAGTTTGTTGGTTCTTTTCAGGTCTAAATGTCAAACATCATGATCCATCCAAACCTAAAAGTCCTCCTGATCAAAAAACGCAGCAATCAAAACCAGGTAGATATGTAATTGTTATTTTATATCACACTGTCTCTTTCACTAAAACTGCACCATTAAACTTCCTCACACATGTCAGGGTGTATAGCAAATCCAGACAGGACAGAACGTTAGATATAATAATTCTTAGATTGCAACTACTTTTTCCATTTTAGAGGTTATTTACCTAAAATAGTCTCATACTCTGTGTATAGTTTGTCCCAGGACTCATTTGCAGGATCTTTTGGCATTCTCTCTATATATGTTAGGGTGTTTTTATATACATTTTCAATTTGCATTTATGTATTTTCATTCTTTAAAATAATCCCTACATAATGAAACATTAAATTTTATAATTTGCTCAGAAGCTCAGCCTAATTATTTAGTCTGACAAATTACTATGGAAACTTTAAAAATAATAAATAAGATTCCTTTTTGCTTTGCCATTGATGTTATATCTACTGTTACTCCGTCCATGATAATTACCATTAACTTGCTAATTAGTGTCCATAAATACAAAGAAAGGTTGATGTTTTCAGAAACTGTATATGTAGTTAAAGGGCTTCTTTTCAGAACTTGTGACTATCCCAAGTGGGCCTTCATCAAATTTCAAAAAAGACCTACCAGGAGCTCTTCCATAATAGACAAAGAAAACAATAAATGAAGCAATGTAGTCATTCCATATGTTGTAGGAATATCGGAAAAGCTCAGCAGGATCATCAGCCAACACAACATTTGTGTACATATCAAACCCAAGAATACACTAAGGCAGAAGCTTATCCACCCCAAGGATAAAACACCCAGACACAAACTGAGTAACGTAGTATATGCAGTACAATGCAGTGAGCTATGTGCAGATCTGTACATTGAGTAAACAAAACAAAACTTCATAAACATAAGGCACAACATAGGACAGCAAACCCGTCAGGACAGGATTCAGCAATCCATCTGCATTAAAAGACAATGTCCACTCTTTTGAAGACAACAAAGTCCATATTTTGGACAGAGAGGACCACTGGTTTGAAAGAGGAGTCAAAGAGGCCATCTATGTCAAAACTGAACAATCCTCTCTCAACAGAGGGGGAGGGATCTGACATCATCTATCTCCAATCTACAACACAGTCCTTTCAACAGTTACAAGAAGGTTCCACACACATTTGCACTATTTGCACTATTCAGGTGATCCTGAAGAATAAGCCTCCAGGTAGCACTAACGACTTGCTAAAAGAATGCAAATGACCAGCTGTCTGCAAGGAGTATAAATCTTTCCATTTTCCCCACCATCCAATCAGAGCTGAAGAAGCTTCTTGGATGAGAAGCGAAACATCTTCAAAGAAAAACAAGAAAGTCCAATTGCCTTGTGAAAAAGCATCTTTGGGATAACTATGACCTGGATGACTGAGAATCTCCATAGACATGTTGAAACAGTATATTTGATTTACAATATATTATATGAACATGTCATTCTAGTTCATGGGTGTCAAACTTGATCAGATCAGTGATGTATCATGATGTATCGCAACAGTTTTTGCCTTTGCGGAGCCGGAGTGGATGTGGCCTGTGCATGATGCATCCCCTGTTCTAGTGTAACATTTCTTCCTTATAGTAGCTTTTAAAAAGCAGTTTGTTGTTTTTCTCAAAAAGAAACAATAATAACAGTAGCAATAACTACTTCTATTTTTAAAAATTAGTAGAAATTAAAATAGCATCAAGGTTCTCTGTTTGCAGAGGAGTATTTTTAAGGAAATTGGGAGACTTTAAGAAGAAGCCCTGGTTCCACTCATTGCTTGACCAATTTGTGCAAAAAGCCCTCAGAGGTTCATTGAGAGCAGATGGTCTTTAAAATGCAAATAATATTGTATTACAGAAGTATAGCTATTACATTGCAAACATGTTCTGTGCATTTTATTCTCCCATAATGAAAATACTAAGCCAAGTAATACTTGTCATTCAGAAACCTTTAAAGGCAAAGATGATGATGATAACGATAATGATGATGATAAAATATTAAGGTAATAAAAACATTACCTTTCCTTTTCAACCTTCTGACTTTCATACCAGCTTTTGCAAGCTGATAAACAGATGTATTCCTGCACAGTATAATCCAGGTTTTTGATTCTTATTTCATTTTCCCCCATCGAATAGTTAATTCTTAACAAATCAAATTATCATGCCAACAATGCTACAGACTAAATCTGGTAACCAAGTTGCATTTGTATATGTTCATATTATCATCCATATTTTTAGTTTTTGTATTTTTAGAGCAAGGTAACCAAAATTCCCCCTGCTTGCACCTGAGAGCCTAGTTAGAAGAGATTTTTTTTCCAAATCTTGTCTTCTGTGAAAAATTATTATCCTGCTGCAAGATTTAGCACAAATATCTCAACTCAAGAAGAAAAAACTTGTCAGAAAATTTGCTTATATACTCATGAACTTTTTTCTTTACTGTTTTTGAAAGAACAGTAGAAATCCACCACAAAAACTTAAAATCAGTGAAATTTCTACCAACAATAGTGCTAGATGAAAGATTTCTGCTCTTACTTTGTTTCATATCACATTAAATTTGTAGAACTTTTCTTTGGGACAAGATATATCACTAGTTGCCTTGAAGATTTGTGTATGTACAGATTCACATACACACAAATATTTTGACCATGTTTGAAAAGTGCACACAGCTATTACATCCAAAATTATTAGGAATGATGATATTTATATCTTTGTAGTTAAAAACATCTGCAGCCAAGAAATTAAAAGACGCTTGCTCCTGCGGAGGAAAGCTATGGCAAATCTAGACAGCATACTAAAAAGCAGAGACATCACCCTGCCAACAAAAGTGCGTATAGTCAAGGCCATGGTTTTCCCAGTTGCAATGTATGGATGTGAAAGTTGGACCATAAGAAAGGCTGAGCGACAAAGAATTGAGGCCTTTGANTTACCTTATCCCAGTTACACTGTTATCCTTAGCTTGAAAATGTCCCAGAAGCTACAGCAGACAAAAAATGCAACTGTCCTTGTTGATTTATGTTGGGTACAGGAGCTGTTACAGGTAGGCTCCTGGGTCAAGTTAAGGTGCTAGCTTACAACTTCTAAATTCCTTTATCACTTGGGTCTTCATTGCTCTTTTCATTGCTCACTTCATTTAGATTATACTCACACCAAGTATGCTAGGTCAGAAGGACCTCTGTGAATTCCCACTGGTAGAGAAGCTCTTGGATGAACAAATACCACCAAAACATGACATAGTGAAATTAATAACAATTTATTCCTTCATGATTATCAAAATTGACATCATTTTTATTGCAATGCATTGATTTATATTGTATAGGCTTTTCCACAGATGTTTTGTTTTGTTACTCTCTGTCAGAGTCTAACATTGGTAAATAATGTCTTTTTTTTCTATCTTTCCTATTCAAGATATTATTTCTCAAAGCTTGACTATTTTTCCTTAATACTGATTATAATATATATCATTGTCCTGTTTCAAGTCAGCTACAAGAAACATGTGGAGTCATCACTGTTTTTAATCTAATGATTTTAAGGCATGTACTCTTATTTGAATAAAATACAAGACATGATTCCTAATGAATATTTCATTCCTTTTTTCCAGATCCAAAAGAAACACGACTTCTTCCTTCAAAACCAAAACCATCAGACAAACAAGAAAGAAACAAGACTAAACCTGGTAACTGCATTCTGATAAAATTCATGTAGATGAGATTTTTTGAAATTGCTATTCAAAATCTAACTGATGCAATATCTTAAAATACATCGACATAAACTTATTTCAATTAAATCCATAATGGCTCATAACAAAGCTATATGAAAAGTAAGGGTTTTTTCAAATAGCCAATATCTTAAGTATTATTGAGTATACTACTTGCTAGTTAATTTTTTCTTATACAATTCTTTCTTATATCACTATCAATGGTAATATTAGGGTTTTAAATTTTAATATGATATGAACAAGGTGTTTTTTCTTTCTCTCTTTCTTTCTCTCTCTCTCACTCACTCACACACACACAGAGAGAGAGAGACACCACCATCACCACCACCACACACAATTGCTGTCTTCTAAATTTGATACAAGGCTTCATGAAAAAGTGACTGAGGAAAGTTTGGCCTCTCTATTTGCATAAAGAATTATGTTTCTTAATTTTTGATTTGTCCATAGTCTGTTATTATTTAATAGGTTAACTAAATCATAATGGAAGGAAAAGAAAATGATGTAGGAAAAATGAATAATAACTTTCTATTCCTCTCATATTTCTTTTTCTCAAGCTAAATAATAATAAATGATAGGCTGGCAGGACTCTTTATGTATTATTTTTAGAAAGATAACTGCTCAGCAATCCAAAGAATATTATGTCTCTTAGAAAGCAAGGACAGCAGACTTTCTAGGATACCACTCCCATCAAGCCTAATCAATATGACCATTGATCATGGTTTATTAGGATTAGAGGTGAACAACATCTAGACAATCAGAGATCAAATAATCCAAAAATTGCATCTACCAAAGCTTGGGACTTTCTGAACTAGCCGCAGGAACTTTAATTCCTGTTTAGCTACAAAAAGAATTCCCATAAGGAATGTCTGAATATAATCTGTCCTTTTAACTTTGGTTTGGCTTATTACTAACAGAGATGGAGAGGACTGTTTACCCCTCACATCTGCATTTATTTTGCAGTCTGAAAGATAAGATTTTAACAATAATTGGGATTAACAGTTAGTTACTGATATATTTTGGTTTCTTTCCTTTTGGGTTTTAGCTATTCAAATTACTAAAAAGGGAGCCAGAGCAATACCATAGAGCCAAAACAACACGGCGATATAAAGCATACAAATCTTTAAAAAGCATAAGGATGGGGACTTGGTCAAAGGCAGTGTCATCTGGCAATACAAAGTTTATGATGGGATATAGTCAAAATCACACTGAAAACCAAATGGATATGAATGAAGTATAGACAAGACTACTATTATTAAGACATAAACGTTTGAGTTAATAGCCAAGTCTTTATTTTGTGCTAAAAGAAAATTAAGAATGACCTCTAGAGAGCATTTCAAAATTGTCATAAACTGTTCTTTGAACAGAATAAAAGGATACTAGGAATACATTCAATTGTGAATATTAATACAATGAATAGATGGTAGTGTGTTAGGATTTTTTTTTTTTGCAATAATCTTGCTTGATATTCTATTTCCAAATCTGGCTCAGAGAACTATCTAACTGTGACTGTGTCATTTCTTTTGTTTCCTGTATCCTAACTGTAGCATATCCAGAATCAATTCAGCTTCACAATCATGTTTCCAATTGTTCCAAGATACTATGAAAGGTTTATTTATCTATACCTCGAAGTTAACTGGAATGAACATTTATTCACTTACATTTCATGCAGATTTATAAATCAGTGTGTATGTGTATGGTGTGTGTATGTGTGTGAAGATACTACATAAATTCTCCACCTAAGTATAAAAACTGACTATACAGAATACTACCTCAAACAGACTTCTGTATCAGAGCTTATTAATTCTAAATCTCCTGATGTTAAAAATTTAATCTTCCTAGAACATGTGTAAGATTGCTTTGATGGTCTAGTTAGTACTTTCTGTTTTGAACATTATAATATTCCATTTAAAAACAACACTTGGGTACACTTAACCTATTTAATTATTTTGTTTTAGCTTCATCTAAACTGAACAACAAAGTGACAGTCACCAAAACTCCACATTTGAAAAAAGGTATAGGAAAACCCACTCTACTAAAATCAATACAGAATCATAATTTGGCTGATCAGTTTATTACCTTGAATTAAAAACATAACTCTGTCTGGTCCTTGAAATACTGAACCATATTTTAGATTAATAGAACAGAATATTTGTAGCCTAAGATTGAACTATGCGGTCCTTGGTGCTTTTTGAGTTGGATTGTTTTCTTGCAGACATTTCATTACCAAAGAAAATAATATCATGAGTGCTAGATCAAACTAGGCAACTTTTGGAGAGCTAATTTGGTGTAGTAGTTAAAACCAATGAACTGGAATGAGGAGAACCTTACCTTTAGTAAACATAGTGAAAATAAATATATCATTGTCTCCAGTCAATTCCTAATAAATTTGACATTCCTTTTTTCAGTTGTCCACAGAACAACACCAGCCCCTCCTAGAACTAGAACACCAGGAAGACCATCCTGGAGTAAAAAACCAAGAGGTAACTTAAATATTATTCCTCATATTGTTGAAATGTTTAGTAGTGGCATCTTTATTTTGTTTAATGGTATACTTTGTGGCCCTTTGCTTATCTCTGTAGACAGATAAATAGAAAACAATAATATAATTGTGAAAAAATTAGTTGCAGTTGTACAACCAAATGCCAAGAAATAAACCCATTCAGTACACATGTATTTGATGTTCTGTTAATGCTTATTTCACATTAATAAAGTAACAATAGCTGCAAATAAAAAAGAGATGTAATTTGAACCATAATTAACCCTTAACCATGACAGATTCTTACTGTAATTATTAAAGCATAAACATATCCTAACTTTTGGATGTGCCATAATTATTTCCATATAGATTTTGGGATGGAGGGCAAGAAAAAATCTAGTGGTTCTAAATTTTCGCTTACTCATTGAAAATATTTGTCAAGACCCAGCAAAATAAATTGATTTAAGTAAGACAAATTGTTTGGGTTTTAAAAAAACATTTTTTTTTGTTTTATATTTGGTCTGAAATATAAAACTGTTTCTGTTTCATACTAGAATTTGATACAGGCTTTCATTAACCATCCATTCCTTACTAATCCTTAAATCAAAATAAATTTTATATTAAAAATAAAGAGGCAACAAATATTGTGCCTTTGTATAGAACAGTTAATTTTATATATTTAATATAAAAGAGACACCATTTGGTGTAGTGGTTAAGGCATCAGACTAGAAACCAAATCTGAGTTTAGTCCATTCTTGGGCACAAAACCACCTGAGTGGTCCCAGACCAGTCATTCTCCTTCAACCCTAGGAAGGAGGCAATGGAAAATCACTTCCAAAATCTTGTCAAGAAAATTGCAGGGAAGCCAGGAGTCAACAATGACTTGAATAAATATGTACAAAATAAGCTGAAAAAAAGTGAAAGACCATTAGAATATATTTAAGGACTAATCTTTCTTTTCATCTCATTACTTGCAGATTGTTCACTAATTTCAAAAAGAATCAAAACTATAATTTTATTTTTCATCTCTTTTTCAAGCCTTAAAAGATAGCTACATAATATCATACTTAGTTTATTGATCAAAAAGATAAAATTATGTAGTATTCATGTATAGCATCCTAATTTATATTTAAAATGTAAATAGGAGAAATAAAACATTGGATTGTGTATTATTTAGTGAACTCTATTTCTCTATTTTTATGCTTTTTTGCCTACTGTTGTGGATGATTCAGGTGTATTCCCCTGTATTATCACATTTTCTATAAAAATATATCCCTAGAGGAATATCCAGACCTTTTTCTTCTAGATCAGGGGTCCCCAACCTATGGGCCGCGGCCTACTACTGGGCCATGGCCTACTGGCTGGCCAGTGCACGCACTTACTCCCACTTGCACTAGCACCCATGGACCTGTTTGCGCATGTATGCAGGGGGTGGCTAGTCCCTGTGCACATGCGCAAATAGGGCCGCTAGCGCGGAGGCAAGTTTGCATGGCCCGTTTGCACATGTGCATGGGGCTAGCAGCGACCGCTAGTGCCTGCGTGCCTGCACAAATGGTGTCGCTAATGCCGTGCGGGTGTGCACTGCTCTGTTTTCGTTTGCGCGCACACACATTTTCCAGCTGCTTTCTTTCTCTTTGGGCTGCCAGCAAGAAAAGGTTGGTGACCTCTGTTCTAGATGATGCAGCTATTACTTGAGAAATTTACCTTTATGGCATTTAGTCTGACATTTGCTCTTGTTGAGAAATACATCCCTGACTAATGAAGAGAGCCAATTCCAAGTTAATGGGAACTTGGGCAAAGTATCTTTGGGCATGGACTCTCATCTGTCAAATCAGTCTAATTGTTTACCTGGCTGTAATGTCCACACTTCAAACAGCAGTAGATGAATTGATTGGACATTTTAATGTGCCAAATATCCATGACCAAATACAACTTCTCAGAAAATAAACTAAGGGAAGTTTGAGGCAGCACCAACAATGGACTCTGCCAGGGACCTCAGACTCCGAGAATAGCTGAAAGTTGTTAGTTGGTGATATATCTATGGCAATGAAAGCTTTTCTGTGTAAGGTTTTCCATTTTAGATCATTTTTCAATTGTCAGACAAAACATTTCCATTTTGTTTTTGCACTGGTATTTGGAAATTTAAAACAAGCTGTGGATTGTCTTGCAAAATTGTTGAGCTGGAATTTCACCAAATAGCTGCCCCAGGAACTATAACCATCTACAAAACTGAAGAATGTTTGGAATAGATGTACACAAATTGAAACAATGTAGATTGTAGTCCCCAGAATTTTTATTTTTTTTTTTAAAAAAAGCTTCTTAGCTTATTTACTTATTTATACTGTATTGGCCAGCCAGTGGAATATGGGCAGCATACAAAACTAGAAAAAACCCCATGTAAACAGCTAAAAACATTAAATCAGACAGTCCCGACCATACTGCCCTAATAAGCAACCCCCCTCCAAAAAACAAAGGGCCATTAAACAAATAACAAACTTCAAACTTGACTTGGCACCAAAGCCAGGTTTTTAAAGCTTTCTGGAGCCCTAGGAGAGAAGGTACCATTCTTATCTCTGGAGGGATGCTAAAGGATAGGGGCTGCAACAGAGAAGGCATGCTTCTTAGGTCCCACAAGATGGCATGTTTAATGGAGGGAACCTTGGGCACACCCACTTAGCTGGAATATACTGAATGGACAGAACATTTGGAGATAAGAGCTCTGTCAGATATCCAGGCTTTATGTCAAATAGGGCTTAATAAGAAATAATCAGCCCTTGAACTGCATTTGGAAGCCAAATGACAAGTACCTGTAATGCAATTTGTGTAGCAGCTGTGTCACATGGGCACACTGAGAGGTGCCTATCTGCATTTGAACTAGCTGTAGTTTCTAGGTAATCTTCAAAGGCAAAGTCATACAGAATGCATTGCAATAATCCAGTTGTGAAGTGATGAGGGCATATGGGACTCTTTAAAGGTCTTCCCAACTGATTTAACACTCAGTCACATTTTCAGAAGTAAGATAACACTGGAAACCAGCACTTTATTTTTTGTAATTTTTTTAAATGATCAAATGTGGATGAGAATCTGATGGGTGCCAACAGAAACATCTGTGAGTGCATTAGCACCCCATATTTGGAATTCCAGGGTTATGCTAAATTACTTCAACATGAAGCTTAATTTAGAGCAAGATTAATTAAAATATTTTCCAAACCACATCACCTAGATAAGTGAAACACATTGCATGACTTATCACTTCAAGAACTGTATAAACAGTTTTGAGCAGTGTATAGATATTAGAAGATGTCTATTATCTACACTGCTAGTTATGCCATACAATGCTGAACTAGGACAAATGTTGTTGACTATAAATACATATGCATAAAAATTTCCACTTGGTGAAAAATGTTCAAGCTATATTCCTAAGAGCCAGAAACACACATGATATGGTCTTCATACTGCAAGATACAACATACATATGTGCTGCATAGAAGAGCTTTTCTTAGTTTGCTTCACTTAGCTCTTTTGAAAGAAAGTATGATAATATCTTCAAAGCTGAATGCATCTGTTCTTGTACAATTAGTGAAACTGAGCAGAGGCAATGTATTATTGTGCTGCCTCTTTTATTATGATCTTTGCATGGGTTACTAACTCCTCCAAAACAAGAAGGGTGGAAAGAATCCTCATCCTATTTTTAGACCAGTATTCCATGATTAAAAAGAAGGCTGCCAGCTGTTTTCTGTCACCATGGTGGTACTGTATGTTACAATTATTGAAAATGATGTAGGTTCAGTTATAGTAAAATGATATGTTTATGGATAAGATTTACTCTGATTATGTTTCTATTGATTTTGTGATAGTCTTAACATGTTTAACATTATTGTTATTTTTCTCATTTTTTAAATTTTATATTTTGTTTCTGGAATTCTTATAACTGATTGAAATACATTATAATGGATTACTAAACTAAGTGAGATAAGTAAATCTCTGTTCTCCAAACATTATCTCACCCACCATTCCTTTCACAATCTTCATGTGGGCTCTGCTACATATACTTATGCTATTTAATATGTGGATTTATGGAGATTAGTTATAACATCAGTAGAGACATGATCTTCATATAGCTTGTGTTTACTGAGAATTGAATCAGAATGTTTGACGCTTGCATTACATTTTTTCTTTAAATGGCTTGACTACTCCCTTTATGACCCTCAAATTAAAAGCACAGGAATAGTCAAATAAATCAGAAATTGAGCAGGTATACAGAAGGAGTATGGTGTATGCATAAGAGAAGTCATGATGAATCAGGTCAAAGGCAAGTACAGTGTAGTTTTCTATTCTCATATTGGCCTATAACCGTGGTGACGAACCTATGGCACGCGTGCCACAGGCGGCACGCGGCGCCGTCTCTGGTGGCACGCGAGCCATTGCTGGGCCGACCTGCTCCCTCCTCCTCTCTGTGCATGCGGAGATTTCCGTAGAGCTGCACATGCGCAGTCTGGGAATAGCCGAGAGGCTATAAAGGGAGCAACTTTCAGCGGAAGCAGGCACGGAAAGCGAGGCAGCCCTATGTGCGTCCCCATGTGCGAGCGTGCCCCTGCCCTGCCAGGCAAGCGAAGCCGCAGCATCTTTGGCAGAAGAGCGCAGGCGGGAAGCAGAAGGCATGAGGAGCCCCAATCCCAGCACAGCCCCTCCTCCCCCCTCGGAAGAGCTGCGGGGCTCAGGAGCCTCCCCCCCATGTCCCCCCACCTGCTGAGCAAGATGCCCTCCTGCCCTCCTGCCCACTGCCCCACCCACCAGAGCAACATTGAGTTGGCCATGCCCAGCCTGGCCACGCCCACCCAGCCTGCCATTTCCACCATAGCTACGCCCACCCGGCACCAGGCGGTACATAAGTGGGATTTGGGTTGTAGTTTGAGCACTCGGTCTCTAAAAGGTTCGCCACCACTGGCCTATAAGAACCCAACACTTAAGATACAAGTAGAATAGTGCTCATTTTCTCAACAATTTGCCTCTGATTATTGAGATAACATATAGCTGTCATGGCTATTAGCTGATAATACTTTTATCCTTATTTTTAATTCTAAGGTGAGAAATTAACAAATGAAGATGTTGCAAAGCCTCTCCATCCAAGCTCTAGTACTAAGTCTAGTATACCAATAGATTCCACAGTTGTAAGAAAAAAACCAGATCCAGGTAAAATGTATTCACTATGCATTATACAATATTTTCCCTGATCTGTATCCAGTGTCATTCTTATTAGATTCATTATATTGCATTTAATGAATAATCATAGAATAATAGATAAAATAATAAAAAAATGGCTGTATTCAAATTCTTCTTCCAAGCAGGATCTTGCTGAATCTTGCCGTGGGTGAAAAAAATGAGCTAACAGTCTCTTAATTGTCTTGCTTTTGGCTCCCTGGAAAATCAAACTGCTGATTTAGTTGTGAAAGAGGGAAGGATATTTAGATAGATGACAGATGACAGGAGAGAGAGAGAGAAAATGACTGACTGACTCACTTATTTTTGGAAAACTACTGTTGAATTCACTCTAGTTATTAAAGTTTGGAAGGAATGCATGGAAACAATGGCTTTAAAAAAAATTTTAAATTATCCTTATTAATGACAGAGAAATTAATTTACATTAATATAACCAGACTTACTACAGCAGTTACAATATCCACTTAAACAAAACAATTGTAATATTTATAAATTAAATATTACAGTTTAGTTCTATTGGATTTTAAACAAATAACAAAGACAAATATTTATGTACATCGTAAGATCTGAAGCATCTGACTACTCAGATACGAAGTGTTTCATACTGCTATTTAGTTCTATCTCAGTTTATCTCAAACCATACACCTTACTCAAGGAGGATAAGCTACCTGGAGAAGGATCTTGAGGAGAGCCTTCTTGCCCTTACTTGCCACTGCAAGAATGCAGTGAACATCCTTTAACAAAAGATCTTCACTGAGCAGTTTGCTAAGTAATATTTTCCCCAGTTTTGATTTTATGAGAGAGCATGCAGGTTGTGTTCACTTCCGCAAACTAACACCACTGCTGCACTATTGCTCCAGTCCATAGATCTTTGCAGCATAAGCAGTGGTCATATTTTTAGAAAAAAATGGGCATTGTGTTTCACCTTGACTTAACTTCCTTTGTGATGACAACCTATTCTGTTACCTACTAATATAGTACAAAGCAACAGTCTGTAATATTCTTAACTGAACAAGAAGCATACATTCTAACAAATTAGTTTAGTTGCTTGCTGTACTCTTGCTTAGTCTGATGTCAGAAGCATGCATTTTTACTGCAAGAAATTTAATGCCTAAAAATAATACCTTTCAGCACTTTCCTGTCTATGTTTTGTGTTCTTTTGCAGCTTTTATCACTGATGCTCATGCCTTAGAAATGTGCTTGACAAGTGTAGCTATTAGCCATTTTTCTCTTTCTGATTACGGTTCCTCCCTTAACACTGGTGTCTTGTAACATTATACAGTAGCTACATTACCTGGTTCTCCACGACCTCCTTTAGCTCCTGCCAGACCTACACCAATACGAAGAAAACCATTGCCACCCAACAATGTGACTGGTAAACCTGGCCGTTCAGGTATGTCATCCTCCTAATCAACAGGGCTTTTTTCTTACGTTTATTGTCATAATGGATACAGCTCTCTTTATATATGCTCAAGGGGTACTTATATTCAGTATAACTAGAAAACAAGTGTTGCCTTGCGACAAACAAATAATAAATAAGTAAATAAATAAAGTCTTTTGTTTATTAAATGCAATTGATAGTCATGTGATCAGTCATCCAAACATTCATTTGAACTATCACAATCTTTTGCAAACATCCTGTAGTGCTTCCTGGCAAAATATTTATTGAACCTATATTATTCATGGGAGTGATGAGCCGTGAAGAAACATCACCTGCATGTATAACTCTTCTATGTCCTCTCCCCTCCCACATATACACTTTTTACCAACATCCTTTTTCCTGTAGAATATGCATACCCACTTGTGAGTAGTTATTCAAATAGTGTACTATGGAGGAGTTGATATTTGATAAAAGAAATATTGCAGGTGTAACCATAATAAATGTGTATTAGAGGGGCAAACAGGAATCCAGTAAGAGATTTTACAGAAATATTTACATATTACTAAATCCTTCAGAAAGGGGTAAATTCAAGTGTGTGATAAGAAGGAACATTTCAGTCAAATGTTAAATGTGGGCAAACAATATCAATACAGAGTTGTGCGCTATAAAGTGCATTTGGAGAAAATTTTCAGAGTTTTCTTTAGAATGGGAATAAATATATTTTGTATAGATCAGCTGAATTAAGTTTACTTGTTTAGGCTTTTAATTGCATACTATACCATGTGCTAATCAATAGAAAATAAACTACAAATTGTATAGATATGGAGTCAGTGGTGGGATTCAGCTAGTTCGCACCACTTCGGCAGAACCGGTAGCTATTTTTTTGTTGCCCAGGCCCAGAATGGAGTTCCGGAAGCGGCATCCACACAGAGAACCGGTTGTTCACATATTTGAATCCCACCACTATATGGAGTACTAGAAACATCTTAATAAATAAACCTATACATTAAACACTTATATTCACTTATATCTGCCCCTCTTTGTGTAAAAAACTTACTCAAAGAGAATATTTTTAAATAATCCTTTTGATTAATGAATGTCTTTTATCATTATGACATGTTTATTTTACAATCAACCCTATGTAAATTCCAATTAGATTCAAATTCTCTTTTCTTCCAAATAGGAAATGTCTTGATGCCACGAGCATCTTCAATTCTCACAACGTCTATAGCAAAACCCACTTGGCCAAGTTCCCTTGTGAAAACAAATTCACCTAAAAAGCTACCTACAGCAGCAGCTTCTCCAGATTACAGTAAGAATGGAATAGCACAGTTCCAAGTTTTCTTTATGTTTTCATTAATCTCAGTCTTGTAGCTTAACACATAAATTAATAGTAGTTCCAATAGTTATGATACCATTCCAAATATCAGTGCGCATTTTTCTTATATTATTCTGTTGAATACCATACTTTACCTCTGCAAACCTTAGGAGTAGCCATAACAGGAGTCCTAACAAGTTGAGTCTAGGAAAGTTGGGAGCTGAAACGGGTTTAATGTTGCAGTTACAACCATTTGTAGTTGGTCCTGAAATATTTGATCCTGGGATATACCTAAGAAAGACAAATATGACATCCAAGACAAATATGCTTTTGTTGAAATTTTAATAAATAACTAACCATAGAACAGGAACAGAACATAATAAAAACTGTCATTTTTCACTGACAAGGGCTATAACATGCAAGGTCCTGCTGGAGCACTTACTTGCTATGTTAATATTAATGAATTTTCATAAATTCTTTGGCATTAGAGGGGAACAGTAAAGCGCCCAAATTTATCAAAGTATGTAGGATGGTTAAAACCATAAAGCATTGTGAAGAACATCAATGGACTTTTTCAAACTATGAAAACAAATATTAAATGTGACTCAATTTTATAAACCTAAAATATGAATATGGTTAAGAATAGATAGATAAGATTGGTAATCAGAATATCATATTTTGGTATGAAAAGGGAAATAAGAAAATGCTAAGAAGTTTGAATAAGGGAAGCTTTTGGTTACCCAAATATAACTTGTTTTGAAACTATAAATTATTGGGATATTTTGAATATGGATGGGAAATTAAAAGCAAAAATAGTATACTGACTGAATAAATGGATATTGAGTGCAAATGCAATTAAGATATGTTTTGGTTAGAAAAGATATTTTAAACTGATATCGTTGATATTATTAGAAAAGTGTAATAAATGCTGATATTTAACTGTATATCTATTAATAACAATAAGAATTGTATTTGCTTAATGTGGAAAAATGTTTATTACCGTAAGAAGAGAGGAGGTATTGGATGGTGTAATATTGGATTTAGTTTGAAGAAGCTTATATGTACCATGGAATTATTAATGGACCCAGTCAACACATTGTCTATTAAGCACTTGTTTGTAAAAATAGAAAATTAATAAAATATTTATTTAAAAAACTCATAAAGCATTGTGAAGAACATCAATGGACTTTTTCACAAATATTAAATGTGACCCAATTTTATAAACCTAAAATAGTTTAACATACTCATGCTAAAAGAATTTGAATGCTTCATTTCTGAATGGTATCTCGTATTGTTCAATCAGTTCTAGAAGCATGTTATAAAATTCCATGCTATTTCAAAAGGACCTGTATATTGAACTAATGATTTCAGACTGATTGTTATATTGACCAATATAAATATATAATGTATAATGTATAACTCAATTTACATTAATTTTATTTGACATTCTTTTCTGCTAGCAGAATATTTGTTTATATATTTCCCTAGCTATTAAGATAAATAGCATGATTTAAAATAAAGAATTAGATCAGTTTATTTTCAGCAACCAAACAATTAGATTATTGAAATACCTTTCCACAAAAATCAGAAAAAACAAAAGTCCTCTTTTTTGGAATTGTAAAGAGTTATAACATCATGAAGTTACTAATTAATTTACTAATTTGATTGCTTGGATTAAGATCATCAAAGTTTCAGCAATTCAAAAAAACATTATTTTTTTATAATGCCACATTTCCTAAGAAAATGTGAACATGATTCCAAGCATGATCTAAGGAGAGGCTTTAAAACTGAGGTATGATTAAAATGAGAGCTTTTGAACAGAAAATGCTTTTACAAGGTAGAAAACTAGAGCTTTCATTAATGTTATGCTATTTTTCTGTGCTTAGATAATCCAATGTTCAGTTCTATCCCTACATCAGACACTGATATTGCAGGCGCACCAAGGTATACAGGTATGTTTAAAATTATCTCATAAGAAAAAAAGTGTTAAGCAATATATGCTATCATTTTTATCTTCCATTTTCTTAAAATAGTTTTATTTAATAAAACTTTATTTCCTTTTGAGCTGACATTCATTTTCATGGATTCTCATTTCAAGATTATTAGATACGTTATGAAGCCTTTCCTTTTATTTTCAATCAGAATAGAGCTGGAAGGGACCTTAGAGGTCTTCTAGTTCAACCCCTGCTCAAGTAGAAGACCCTATACCATTTCAGACAAGTGATTGTCCAGTCTCTTCTTAAAAACCTCCAGTGATGAAGCACCTACAATTTCTGAGAGCAAGCTGTTGCACTAGTTAATTGTCATCACTAAATTTCTCCTTAGTTCCAGGTTGCTTTCTCTCCTTGATTAGTTTCCATCCATTGTTTCTTGTCCTGCCTACAGGTGCTTTGGTAAATAAGTTGAGCCCCTCCTCTTTGTGGCAACCTTGCAAATACTGGAATACTGCTATCATGTCACCCCTAGTCCTTCTTTTCTCTAGACTAGCCAAACCTAAATTCTGCAACTGTTCTTCATATGTTGTAGTGTCCAGGCCTTTAATCATCTTAGTTGCTCTTTTCACTTCTTCCAAAATCTCAACTTCTTTTTTGTCATGTGGTTACCAAAACTGTATTCCATGTTGGTCTTATTAAGGCTTTATAAACAGTACTACTGTTGTTCCACTGTCTTGTTTTAGCTGGGCATCTATTCAAGCAAGAGACATATAATAGGTAGGAAACTAAAATATGTAACTGACCACATTACTTGGTGATAGGAATAGCCAAATATTTTACTGCGGTATAGATCAGCCTTCCTCAAGGATTCAGAGTAGCAGGGCTGAGAGTTGTGGTGGAGCAGTAGTTAGAATGCAGTATTGCAGGCTAATTCTGCCCACTGCCAGGAGTTCAGCCCTGATTGGCTCAAGGATTAAATCAGAATTCCATCCTTTCAAGGTCAAATGAAGGTCCAGATTGTTTGGGGTAATATGCTGACAATGTAAACCACTTAGAGAGTGATATAAAGCACTATGAATCTATGACATGTTCTTTTCTAAGTAGACATCAGAGGGCAGAAAGGATTCTAATCTTCCCTGATTAAGAAGCTTATAATGAAAATATTTTGTGGAAAGCATTTCTTTCTGTGAACAAGTCACTGAAGTAATATATTGCCATTTAAAATAACATACTTTTAATTGCTTATCTTTTCAGGTGATCATGTGAAATACCTGAAAAAAAAAGATGATGAACCTTGTTCTATCACAGATACTATACAACACTTTCCATCTGATATGGAGGACAACAGAGACATGGCTACTAGTGCCCCCAAAAAACCTCCTACGAATCTTACAGTGGTGACTGTTGAGGGATGTCCATCTTTTGTGGTACTGGATTGGAAAAAACCAGAAAATGAAACTGTAACAGGTTAGCTAGATTTTTGTCTTGTCCGGGCATTGTGTTAACATATACACTTCTTCCAAGCTATTTTGAAAAGTTGAGGATGTTCTTCAGTCTATTTTATTAAAATTCCTAATTTTTCTAGATCTCTGATTTCCATTCTAACTAAAAATTATGCCCTAATTAATTAACAGATAATTTTTAGATGGTGTTATGATCCAGGTTGCCTAGGCAGAGGCAGGCATCGATAGAGTCCTTCATTGCTCTAATTAAATGTCATAACAAATGCCCCTACAACACTGGTACGGCTCCACCCTACACTACCCAAAAGGCAGCCACCCTTAGTCCCCCAAACAAAGGCCAATAAGCAACAAAGTCGAAAGAGAAGATGCAAACTCATGGGGAAAGATCCAGAATCAAGATACGATGGGCAAGGCCTGTCCACAGGGTAAGGCAAGTCCACAAGGCCAAAGGCAGGCCACAAAGCAAAGGCAAGACACAGGTAAGAGCACAAGTCAAAGCTGGCAGAGTGTAAGCCAAACAAACAATTGTTCCTAACAAAGATAAATTCCCCCTGGCTTCTCCTTAAGTCATCCCCAGCCAGGTATTCCTTGTGAGGAGGGTCAGGGCGATCTCCCGAGTAGTCTCGCAGCCCCCTTTGAGCTTCCCTTTGCTCTACTCTCCATGCCCTTGGATCGAGTGGGGGAGGCAACTGTTTCTCATCAGAGAGTAGCTGCTGCCTATCAGCACCACTACCTGACTGCAGTCAATCCTTCCCTGTATCTATGAGGGCAGGTAGCTCTCCATCTGGTCGACCACCTCCCCAATGCCCGAGGGACCTGGGACAGCATCATCCTCAATCCCTGGCCTCTCCAAACATTCCAAGGGAGACATGCCAACTCCATTGGTTCCAAGTCCTCCTTCTCCTCCTCCAAACCAGGCTCCGATGGAGCTATGACAGATGGCATTCTCTGTCCATGGCAGCCATGTCAGAATTGTCAGGTAATTCTTCTATGTACTCTGAATTCACTAAAATTTTAAATAAGGTGTTCATGATCAGTTCTTGATGATAGAACTATTGTGTTTTCTTTAGTTATTAGTGATGTTGCTATTGTTACACAGTAACTGATATTTTGATAGTTGTATGAGAGAGCAATCAAATATTGCTCTCTATAAAAGTTAGGACTTATGGTCACACAATATATTATTAGGAATATGTTTCAACATCATGGACTTTATATATATCTAAAAATAAATGTTATGTGTTTGCATTCAGTCAGCTAATGATTTTTTAAGAACAGAATACAGGTAATCCTCGACTTACAAAAGTTCATTTAATGATCATTCAAAGTTAGAACAGCACTGAAATAAGTAACTTATGACCATTTTTCATACGATCGTTGCAACATCCCCATGATCACGTGATCAAAATTTGGATGCTTGGCAACTGGTTCATATTTATTATAGTTCAGTGTCCTGAGATCATGTAATCACCTTTTTTAACCTACTAAGAAGCAAAGTCAATGGAGAAGCCCGATGCATTTAACAGCTATGTTAATAACTGCATGATTTACTTAACAACTGTGGCAAGAAAGGTTGTAAAATGGGGCAAAATTAGCAACAGAAATTTCAGACTCAATTGCGATTGTGAGTCGAGGATTACTTGTAATTCAAGATCTCAGTTCTGATATTTTAAAGCCCAATGTCTTTTAGAAAGATCATTAGCTTTCTGCTGTTTACTTCAGATTTTGTAAATGCATAAGCTATGGTAAAAAAAAATCATTCAGAATTGAAGGAAAACTGTGTTTTCAAACTTGTCATTCTAAAGGTCTCTAATAGTTAATGAGCAATATCTGAAAGTTCACAAACAAGTAGTTAGTGAACTTAATGTCTTTTTTATTTTTTAAAAAGTTATTATCCCACCTTTATTATTTTTATAAATAATTCAAGGAACCAAATATACCTCATACTCCTTTCTCCTAATTTTTTTCCACAACTCTGTGAGTTGGGTTAGGCTAAGAAAGAGTGATTGGCCCAAAATCACCCAGCTAGCTGTCATGCCTAAGGCAAGTTTAGAATTCTAAAAGGCACCAACTATGGTTGCTAGCAAGATGGCTACTCCTATTGTTTCCCAGTATTCAACTCCAAGGGAGACAACTATCCTGCATTCTCCTCATGAGGATCACTATTTAGAGTACATGTGGGTGATCCCCTGTCTCCTCTTCTCCTGAGACATTCTGAAGAGCCACTCTAATTACTGGTCGTTGTTCTTTCCTGCAGTTCTTGGCTCCACTTTCACGGAGACATCTTCAGTCTACCATTCCTCGTCCAAAAGCCCTGATTGAAGATATTATCAATTATGTCCATTTTGATTATAATTAAACCAGTGTTGTAGGCTAAGTAAGTTGAGACATTCTGTTTTCATCACTTATTTCTGTATTGATTTCTACCTTGGCAATTTAAAAAAATTATGAAACATTAAATAAGATTATTTGAAAATAAGGTTTTGATATATTATTCCAGAATTAGTCTACATTAACTATACAACTAAAGGGATTTTTAATTGAACTCAGTGATAAAAAGTCCTAATTTTTAAAATAAATCCACTTTGAACTATATTTTGATTACAGTGGGAGCATGAAGGAGAAAAATAGACACCAGATAAAGAGGTTTTACAAAACTGAAATGATGTAAGTAATTGAACATGATCTTCTTATTTTCAGAATATAAAGTTGTATCAACAGAAAATGGAGGCACAGTTGGAAAAGATAAGTCCATTATAACCACAAATCAAACCCATTCTACAGTGGAAAACCTGAAACCTAATACAAGGTGATGTTGTTAAAAGGAATTTTATTATAATAATGAATTTAAGTTTGCATTTATTTATACACTGAAAAAAATTGTATATTATTCCATTCAGTCAGTTTTGGGAATGTGAATAAATTTAGCGTACTAAACATAATATATTAAAATGTTACTAACTTCAATAATAAAAGCAGGTAAGATTGTGCCAGGAAAAATATATTAGGCTTCAAATATGTAGCAAAAGAGTAGTTTTCCTACATTACTAACATAAAGGTACAATCTGTAGTTGGGGAAGAAAAGCATTTCTAACCAGGCATGGAAGCCACACAGAATGTGTCCTTGTTCCTGCCATTGGACATCAGGACATGGGGATCTACAGTATTTCTTCCATCTTGTTCATACAGATTAGACTTAATCTACTCAGAAAGGACAGTTCCAAAAATGTCCTGGACTCAAAACAAAAAATAAATAGTAAATATATGCATGGCCAACCAGCAGTGGCCATGAACTTAGATAAGCAAATAGGTTGCTGCATTCAATAACAATTGAAGCTTCTGAGTAATCTTCAAAGGCAGTCCCATTACAATAATCCATTATGGAGATGATGAGGGCAAAAGTTACGATTCATGGGTTTAAAACACAACTTCCTAAATAAGAAAGTCTGAGTGAACTGACAATGATTGTTAGTATCTGAATTTAGTATCGGTTGCACTAGCCTGTGCATGCAGGATTTGAGGATATTGATCAATTAGCTTACATCGTATAACAAAAATGCAGGACAAAAGAATGGAAGGTAACTCAGGAGAGGACTCGTTTGAGAGACCCCAAACCTAAGCATCTTTTTTCAGTTGTATGCTGAAATATGCCTTCTTCTTCAGCTGCTATCCTGTTCACATGAACATAATATGAACATAATTGGAGTTACTCTCACATAATACAATTCTCATTAATCATGAGCCTTTTCAGATAGAGGAACAGAGCAAGAGAAAATTACAGTAAAAAACGACTTTATCTTAACTTTTGTCAAAAGTGCATAGCAATTTATGCTAAAAGTTAAAGAAGGATGCATATGATCTATAGCTAGGATAGGAACTAATTTCATTGCACCCTGTACTTAGAGCCACTTCTTGCTAAATTCTGAGGTTTATCTGTTTAGGTGCATCTTTTCATATATGGATGTTGGTACAAATATCATATTAAGCCTTATATATATGTTATGAACAAGTAAATCAGTTATAAACTTTTCCAAGAAAATGCACATAATTATGAGTCCAAAAGATAAGTGGCAGATTCTTTAGAGAAAAATGCAAAAGGAAATACAGTAATTTAGGGAAATAAAGGGTAAGAATGATTATATACCTAAGCTTGATATTAATGATAATTAATGATAATTTATTTTCTTTGACAGCTAAAACACTGATAGAATATTCATCAACTGTAAAACTGGGTGCTGTAAAACATGTTCCAAGTTCTGACTTTAGGTTTCTAAGATCACCAAATATTTTTTTCCTATGTCAATAGCTCCTTGATTAGTACTATCAGTTGTCAACAGACATTATAAATAAGTGTTGTATACCCATACTTTAAACGTTAAAGTTTATGGGACATTTATTTTGTATGTTACTTCTTTAAATCTCTAGCAATTTATTGCTGTTCAATTTGGGGGTTTGGAGTAGAGTTTTTAGTTTTATTTTGTTTTTTGGACATCTGGTTTGCTGCAAAATTCCATAAGCTTGTTAAAGACACTGTCCTGATGCAGGTGTTCCATTCTCTCATGGCAACAGAAACCAATAATCAATTTGTATCACTGCTCTGTTTCTTTTTTTCCCTTTGGGTGAGGCGTATTTTGGCTTTCAAACTTGGAAAGCTACCAGAAATAATGTTTTCAGTACTGAAAAGTAAGGGAAAATACATCTTAAGATTTAACAAAGTACAAGAACCTGGAAAATACAAAACATTTTGCCCATAATTTGGTTCACTCAGTTTTCTTCAGATTATTAAATACTGTTGGAATTAGTCAGGTTTGTCTTGACAAACGTTCAAAAACAATATTACATGTTGTGGATTTTCATACTCAGATGACTTAATCTTTCAGCAGTTGCTTTCATCTGGGAATGTGAAGCACTTAACAAACAATACATAAAATCTTCACAAAGACTAAGATATGGTTAGCCAACTTAAAATAATAGTTGGATTAATAATAAATGTCATGCACCACCAATTACCCGTGACTAGTTTTATACTTTGGCTGCAATCCAACATATACATAGACATTCTTGAGTCTTTGTTGAAATGAACCCTTTGCAGAATAATCCATGCTGGACAATATGGCTGAATGTTCAGGCATAGTTTCATTCAGATAATATAGGAACTGATTATCATTGACATATTATGCTACCATGGATTCCAGGCCTAGCAGCAAGCATAATAATTCACTAGTTGGAACCATTGGTTAAGATTTCTCCACACTGTTGCTCCATTATTTCAACAGAGCTATTTTAGAGGCGGCCATTCACTCTTTCCACCCCCTAAGAGGAAACAGAGAAACTATCAGCCATTACAAAGAGAATTGGTCCAAGTACAGGACAGTGCCCTTATAAGCTGCCCTTCCTGAGAAGTAGGAGAAAGCAAGTCAACATCATTACCTGGTCTGTCTCATGGCCAATGTTCAAGTGTATTCATTATTAATATTATTTAGAAAGATTTTTGTAAGCCACTAAAATGTATAGGTTTTTTATATTCAGACCTGAATGCCTATTCTGTTTAATGGTTTGGCCATATCTGCACTGTCAGATTGCCTTGTCCCGAGTATAAGCCACTAATAATTTCTGGAAGGAATGGACATTGTCTTCCGCTGATCTCTATCCCCAACAAATGCAGCCTCCAACCATTTCTGCTTCGTATTAAAAGTAATGTTTTCCATTTTGTGTTGGCTTGGGTTTATCTGCTGCACCACACTTCGTTCTAGCCAAACTCCTGCACTTTGGCTCCCATACAGAGGTAGAAACTGTTATGTATTGAATATATATATAAAGTTGTGTTAATCCCTGCTAAAGTGAAACTTAACTCCAACTGCTTGTGAAACTAAAATAAAACTAACCTTTAGATGACCCTGACTGTTAACTCCCAACTGTTCTGGAGGAAAACTTTGAACATTCATATTTGGGTAGGTTTTTCAAGTATTGTGAATACTTGAAAAACCTACCTCAGAATATCAATTACAGACAATTGCCTGCAATTCTCCAGTTCTAGTTTGAGTTAATAAATAACGTTATAACTATGCTGATCTGCTCCTTGCCTACTGAAGCTCACTACACAATAGAAACCACCTCCATCTCATTTTCCCAGCTGTTCTTCAAGTAAGTCTGTGGCAGCTGCAGCATATAACATGTAGTCTTTGTCAGTGGCATACTGTTTATGAGGGTTGATAGGCAGAATGTCCCAGCTTTGAAATGTAGCAGATTTTGAATCAAGCAATTGTTATAACTAGAATGACCATGAGAAAAAAAATGGGAAAATGAAAAAAAAGGATTTTATTTTAAAGCTGATTACACACAGCCACACACATGCAGGCAGAGAGAAAGAGAGAGACAGAGAGAGACAGAGACAGAGAGATTGTATATCTTGTATATCCTGCAGGCTAGAATCCAGGAGACCATAAGTTCTAGTCCTGCCATAGCCATGAAAACCAACTGATTGACCTTGGGTCAATCATCTCTCTCAGCTCAATCCAACTCACAGGGTTATAGTGGGGAAAATAGGAAGAAGAAGGTATATTGGATATGTTCGCTAACTTGAGATATTTGTAAAATATAAATATAAAAATAATAAAGGTGGGATACAAATATAAATACTTAACTATGCATTTTACTTTATTTTTATATGTTTATGCATGCATGTACACATACACACATGCACACACACACACATATTCAGAGCAAAATTTTCTTAAACCAGTTTAGAGTTAAAGCAGCATAAGATGGAGCAGGGTTAAGGATTGTTTAATTGATTATATGTACTACGAAGTCAGTGTTAACTCCTTGTGACCACATAGATTTTCTCTAGGAATATTTGTCTCTAACTTGGTTCTTCTGGTTTTCCAAGGTGCACCCATTGCCACTGTAACAGTATGCAGTTGTTTTGCTGCCGGTTGTCCTTTTCTTCTCTTTCTTTCCACTTTCACAATATTACAGCCTTCTCCAGAGACTAGACCTTTGCATCCATTTGTTCAGCAACTATTCAAAGTTACAATGGCGCTGAAGAAATTGATTTATTACCAGTTGTCAAACTTCAATATCCTCAGGGCATCTGATAAAAATTTGGAGTGGCATTTATGGCTGGCCTCCCTCTGCCACCACCTCACCTGACTTTTGGGGAAAGGCAGAAGTCCCAAGAAACCAGGCAGGCACCAGGGAGCAATGTGGACAAGCACCAGGGAGCATGGGGTTTAAGGCAACACAGGCCTTGCTGTGGCATGGGGCTAGTTGGTTCTTGCAGCTGGGCAATGCTGCTGGGACTTGGAAGTCTGCCTGGCACTGGACCTGAAGCAGAAGCCTCAGGGCAGTGGCTGTGGGTTAAGACTTCTGAAAGCTGCCACAACTGAGGAGTGCTACCTCAAACACCCATGCCATGACAAGTCTCACAGTTTCTAGTGCCCACCTATAACACCTGCCCTTAGGTCTCACCCACTGTCCTGTTTACATGGCACTCCTAGCTCTTCCCACATCAATTCCATGTGAGGTCCTTGCTTCTTAACTTATTTGGTCCTGTGGTTACAACACTAACTGGGACTGCTGGGATATCAGCCACTAAGCAATGAAGTCATATAATAATAATAATAATAATAATAATAATAATAATAATAATAATAATAATAATAATAATAATAACAACAACAACAACAACAACAACAACAACAACAACAATAAAGTTGGACCTTAGAGGTCATCTAGTCCAACTCCCTGCTCAGGCAGGAAACTCTATACCATTTCAGACAAATGGCTGTCAGTCTCTTCTTAAAAACTTCCAGTGTTGGAGCATTCACAACTTCTGGAGGCAGGTTGTTCCACTGATTAATTGTTCTAACTGTCAGGAAATTTCTCCTTAGTTCTAGGTTGCTTCTCTCTTTGGTTAGTTTCCATCCGTTGCTTCATGTCCTGCCTTCAGGTGCTTTGGAGAATAGCTTGACTCCTTCTTCTATATGGCAGCAGTGGTGGGATTCAAATATGTGAACAACCAGTTCTCTGTATGGATTCCGCTTCTGGAAGTCCATTTTGGGCCTGGGGAACAAAAAATTAGCTACTGGTTCTGCCAAAGTGATGTGAACTGGCTGAATCCCACCACTGTGTGGCATTCCCTGAGATATTGGAACATTGCTATCATGTCACCCCTCATCCTTCTCTTCATTAAACTAGACATACAATATCATACTTTGCAACCGCATCATTTAGCAATGGTAATCTCAACCTCAATGTCAACATAACTTGAGAACTACCTGTATTGTGTCTGAAGCATGGCAGTTTGAGCCTGTTAAATTGGGATTTCACTGAGAAGTTTAAGAATACAATACATTTCACTTTGAACCAGAAAATTAGATGGAAAATTGGGAATGAAAATTTGATTGGTTTACTTTGTGGCAGTCACTCTCTCTCAGCCCAACTCAACTCACAAATTGTTAGGGGGCAAAAGGAGGAAGAAGGGGTATTAGGTGTATTTGCTATCTTGAGTTATTTAAAAATAACAATAAAAGCAGGATAAAAAATCTTTTTAAATTGTTTTAAGGGTTTTTAAACTATCAGTTTTAACAACTTTCTGTCTATCAATTATCCAGACAAAAGGCTGCTTAGGATATTGTCATTTCCTTAAACATGTTTGAAACAATGTATGTTGCCTAAATTTTAAAAAATTGCCAAACCATATTGAGATTTTAAATATTAAAGTTACCTTAATTACACATGTCAAATACATGTTTCCTATTTATTTCATATCACATTGTAAATTATAAATGCACTTTGTTTTGCTTATTTCCTTCCTAGCTATGACTTTGTTGTGATACCTAGCAACCCTCTTGGGGAAGGTCCAAGTAGTGAATCAAAGCCATTTAGAACGGAATCAGGTAAGAATTTCAATAACTACATCAATTAGATATAACTCTCCTTTAATTCTTTACAATTTTATAGAGAAAAACAAAACAAAGTTATAATTATGTTTAGATAAAAAAAAAGTTATAGCATCTGAACAAACTTTCACAATAATACTTGTTTTAAACTGGAATTCATAATGAACAATTAACATTTCAATTATTAGTAAAAACCAGTATTGGGTTGATGTAAAATTTCTTTAAAAAAATAAAATATCAACCACTGATTAAAATAGGTTTAAAAATTCCATGAAGTGTTTGCTCTTTGAATTGCTTCTATTATTTCAAAGGTTGTTATTGAACTATTCAAAATTTGCTTGTAGTTTTCCGATAGTTTAGGAAGATTTTTAGTTGTTATATACTCCTCCATAGTATCTAAAGAGATTTCTTGTTCTTAGTATAAATTGATATAATAATTCCAAAGAAGTCTGTGAATATTTTTGTTATCCATATAAGTCTTATTCACCTCTTGAAGCTTGATTATCATCTTCTTTTCTGCCTGTTTTCTAAGTTTGTATGCCAACCATCCCCCTGGTTTATTTGCATGTTCAAAAAAGTGTTGTTTTGTATATTTACGTTTCTTTTCAATATCTGAGTCAACAAAGAAATTTGTTGTTGCAATAATTTTAGTTGATTATATGTTAGGATCTTCTGGTGAATTCTGGAGTTCCTTCTCCTTCAGTTTAATTTCTTGTAGCACATTTTGGATTTTTTTGTCCAATCTTTCTCTTAATTGCTGTATTGTATTGTATTATATAAAATGACCTCGTATCACAGCCTTACAAGCATCCCAGACTGTTGTCAGATTGGTTCCCTTACCTAAATTATTACAAATAATTTACAAATAAGAAGTATTAGATAAATACTTTCTAACATGTTATCTTTCAGTAGTTTGAACTCAAGTATTCAGTGTTCAGACAGAATTGGTTCTAATGTCAAACAACTTTCTATTTCTAAAAGTTCATGCTAATTACATTTGTTTTCTTTTTAAAAAGTTTATTTTATAATTTCCTTACGATATGTATAAAATTTTAGATAGGTTTGGGGAAGGTTGGTTTGTTTCTTGAAGGCTAATCTTTATACATGGTTTTTCTCTTTCTGTCTGCTCTCTCTTCCACTTTCTTCACAGCTGACCCAAGAGTGACAGAATCTATTTCAAGTAAGTCTTCTTTACAAGTAGCATGCTTATTGGAGACCATTTCTGAGATTGCATAATGTGCTGTTATATGACAAAAAAGGTTTAGAAGAGAAAGGTATTTTGCATATTTTTTATAGTCTATGTCATTTGGAAATATGGCAGGCAGCTATTGGAGAACTGTTTCTTTTGTCAAAACCAATGATGAATAGAATAGAGTAGAGTAGAGTAGAGTAGAGTAGAGTAGAGTAGAGTAGAGTAGAGTAGAGTAGAGTAGAGTAGAGTAGAGTAGAGTAGAACAACAGAACAGAACAGAATATAATAGAATAGAATATTTGGCCAATTATGATTAGACACCCAAGAAATTGGTTTCCATGTAGACGTTCTCAATGTATATGCAAAGCAACAGAGTAATAATAATCATAATGTTACCAATAACAGGGGTTAGTTGAAAAGATGAGCAGGATAATAATACTACAGCCATACAACATGGGTAAATATACTTAGATATAAAACAATACTGAGGATTAGATGTTCAGTAGAGTGAATGGCACAAGAGAAAAAAAACTGTCCCTGTGTCTAGTTGTGGCATCCTGAGGGGAGGAGTAAAACAGTTTATGTCCAGGATGTGAGAGTCTATAGATATTTTCTTAGCCCTCATTCTGACCCACGCAATATACATATCTTCAATGGAAGGCAGGCTGGTTGCAACTGTTTCTTTCTACAACTCTAACTATCTCTTGGAGATTGTATTTGTCCTGTTTAGTTGCTGTACCAAACCACAAAGAACAGATGACAGACTCAAAAATTTCTCTGTAGAACTGTATCAAAAGGTCCTGGGACAGTCTCAACTTTCTAAGTTGACACAGGAAGAACATTCTTTGTTGTGCTTTTTAAATTATGGTTCTAATGTTAGGTATCCATTTCAAACCCTGGGATATTATAGAAACCACAAACCCAAGGGAGTCTACTGCTGATACTGTGCTATCAAATATAGTAAAATTAAGCAACATTATTCTCATATATATTTATTTAGCCTCAATTTTGTTTTCCTTTAGATGCCAGGCTATATGATTATCTTACTTGTTCATTCATTGAAGTTGGAATGAGCCTTTTTGACATTGAATAGTCTGTAGGGTAGTTAGCAATAAAATATGTTAAAATCATATGATTAACAATTGCATGAATAACATAACAAAACAGAAATAAAAAGAAATAATATGAGAATTCACAATAATCTTTTGTCTTGATATTACTTCTTTCCTATTTTAGTAATTTCCTTGTTATTTGTTATTTTTGCATCTAGTCTTGTACTTATATTTTGTATTTACTTGCGTTTACTTGTATACTTGCATGATGGTGCAGTGGTTAGAATGCAGTATTACAGGCTAACTCTGCTCACATCGCCAGGAGTTCGATTCTTTTGATCCTGACCAGCTCATGGTTGACTCAGGTTTCCATCCTTTCGAGGTTGGTAAAATGAGGACCCAGATTGTTGGGAGCAATACGCTGTCTCTGTAAACCACTTAGAGAATGCTGTAAAGCACTGTCAAGCAGTATATAAGTCTAAGTGCTATTGTTATTGCTATTTACTACAGTATATGTTTTATTTACATTTATGATAAGGGGAAAATATAATAATGCTAATATTCTTATACATTGCTTTTTCACTCACTTATGTCAGATGTATATTTTTCATATATTATAACCAAGATCTCATTTATTATTTTCTTGCAGTGGGGAAAGATGCGATTTGGACCGAAGTGAGCTTTAATTCTGATGACTATTCTGAATGTAAGGGAAAACAGTATGTCAAGAGGACTTGGTACAAGAAGTTTGTGGGGGTTCAATTGTGTAACTCCCTTCGATATAAAATTTACCTCAGTGACACACTTACAGGTATAAAATCAAAACTCTCTTAATTGACTATTAACAAGTAAGCATATGGGATGGCTATTTATGTGGCCAGCACAGGACATCGCTAGGTTCAGTATTATATGCAGTCTGAATATAAGATTTCAGACACAGCAACTTGTAGAATAGCATTGGATATTTGTAAGCTTGACTGATTACTCTAGGAAAGTTTATGATGTATGAGATCAAAAAGTTTGTGCCATCACCAAGGCAGCTCCATCAGTATGCAGGCAACATGAAATGTCGTGAATAATCAGTATGGAGGGCACAATGAAACATCATGGGTCCTCTTTTTCATGCTGGCAACCATTGAGTTTCAGCATATATTATTCTATAGAATACAGGATTCTTGTGGGAATGTGCTATTGAAGAATCTAACATGTTCTTTATAGAGCAGTGTGGTTATATAAACATATAACAGATCAATGTCAACTGGGAGACTGATATTCTCCAAACTGAAGACAAGCTTTTGAATGCCTCAGAACTTACATTGCTTTATATGCAGTATATATCCATGTAAAAACAATGTGGTGATGGTATATAACTCTAAGTGCTATTGCTATTGCTATTGCTATTGTTATTGCTATCTTACAACTACATCATTAGTGATGGAAATTCAGCTTCCAATTACCATTGTAACCTATTTGTGCTTTGGTTGGTTGAATTTTAATCGTATTTTAAAAGTGCTTATAATATTTTCTAGGCACATTTTATAATATAGGAGATCAGAGAGGACATGGAGAAGATCATTGCCAATTTGTGGATTCATATTTTGATGGAAAGACAGGGCAAATGCTTCCATCAGATCAACTGCCTACCAAAGATGGTATGTTCTAAACCAACGATAATGAATGAGCTCTTAAGTTTATTTCCGACCTTTAAATATAATACAGAATTGTCATCTTTGTGATAAAAGTAGAACAAGAGTCAACTTTGATACATTACATACCTGACAACCAAGTATTTATTCATAACCATGTTTATTTATCCATTTATATGGCTACCCAATTCAAATCCTGTGGTTCTGCGCAGCATACAAAAATAAAATTATAATTAATACAAACTCATTAAACTTATTAAAACACATTAAAAAAACATAGCAAACAGAACTGAAAACTTCTCATTTATTCACTGGAGACTCAATTCATGACTTCAAAGCTCAAAAGAAAAAACCTGGTCTTAACTGCCTATAGAATTGGTACCAACTGCATGAGAGGAAGAAATTGTCCAAAAGGGCAGGCACTGCCCACAGAGGCTATGCCTCCTAGATCCCGAACAATCACATTGTTTCAATGAAGGGACCATAAGTATGCTCTCCCTAGTGGAATGTGTGGAACAGGCAGATACCCTTGGCAGCAGGTAGTTCTGAAGCCTAAATTCTTGAACCAACTTCAAAGGCAGTTCCTCTACAAAGCTTTACAGTGCTCCATCAGATTATTCATCTCTCCAGTTGCAAAATAGGAACTGAACACAATGTGCATGAGTATTTCAGAAATGTCAGAAATGACCATCCCAAAGATTATAAAATTAACATTATGTTGGCAGAATGTCCTCTTAGAAGGAAAGCATACATAAAACTGTATTTTGCCAACTCAGTCTGCTTGATAACTTTCATTTTGCCAAATTAATTTCTAGTGATTTATTAAGAATAGATAAAATTAGATTAGAAACACACAGCTATAGAGGTCTTCATTCATATTGACATACACAGATTCTCAATTCCACTATTACTAAGCAAAGTATTACTATTATTGCTATTTCAATTATTACTAAGCAAAAAATCAGTCTCGTAATATTTGACTCGTAATATTTTAATATTACCTCCTAGTCAACTTATTGTGCTTGGCTTAAATTCTGGTCTCTCCAGATCTACTTGTGTAGATATATATTATTTATTGTATTTACTTACATTTTGCATCTTGATGAAAATAAAGTAAAAAGGGCATTCACCCTTAGGACTTTCCCAGAAATACTTGACAAAATAATGTTGCTACTGTATAATTGTGTACGAACTTGAAAACTACACTGTACAGGAAGCCATTTAAAAGGTTGGTTTCATAACAATTAGGTATGTGTTACAATGATCATATGTAATACACATCTGTAATTAAATTTTGCTTAGACTTCATATGTTCAAGAATACTTTAGTAGATACTTAATTATACATACATGTGTCATTTTCCCCATTTTTAATTTTTATTAAATGTTTAATTTCTTTTTCAAATAGGTTATTTTAGAGCTGTTCGTCAGGAGCCTGTTCATTTTGGAAAAATAGGAGCTGGAACGCACAGTACTTATGTTAATTGGTATGAGTGTGGAACTACAATACCCGGAAAATGGTAGAACAAGAAACAAACTGATGCACCATGCTCAGAGAAAATAGTTTGTTGTGATATTACAAACTGAAATCTAGCAAGAATACCACGTTAACTTTCAATAGTATTGGCTGCTTAATTATAAATGTTCAGATTTATGCAGAAAGAAATATCATAAAGTGATGTCTTGGGAAGCTGGCTCCCTAATAGTCTCTTATATTATCTACTTATTGTAAAAGGTGTAGTTTATTTTTTACTATTGTTGTGATATTTTGAGGCACCTTCACTGAAAAAAAATCTTCTGAATTGTATTAATGTACATTGCCAATGGTCACATTCTACTACTTTTCAAACTCACTTAAATTATTCTCTCAGTTAATTTCTAGACATTTTTGCTACTTTATAAAAAATCAAATCCATTTGAAAAGTTGCAGATTTTATTCGAACATTAGATAAAATTGACACCACCTCAGATTTCTTCAATTAAAATATCATTCAGGAAAAAAGAATCATGTTAACTGAACCCATACCAATAACCATTCTACTATCCTAAATATATGACCAATCTTTAAAATTGTGCAAGAGCTCCTCAATGCAAGGGAGATTTCAGTTCAATGGTACACACTTTTATTCTGTACTCCCAGTACACATTGGATTATAGCAACAAACATTTATAAAATGGCATTAAAATTGGTTGTATGTCAGAAAGTTATTGGTTTTGATAGAATTTACTGGTATGTGTATAAATAATACTGTAATGGCTGTTCTATTTTTGTCTCCCACCAGAAATTGAACTAATTCATGGTAAACATACACATATGCACACACAACCTATTTACAGGGGGAAAATATATTGCTACGGTGAAATAAAGATGCAAAAGCCTTCCTATTTTTTGCTGTTGTTAATGTTAGAATATTTCTCAAAAATACTGTGTACTCTGGTATATATATCTGAATACAAAGTACACAAGTATTTCAAACAGATTTTCCTTCCTTAAGTACACGGCAGATTCAATCATTTACTTCTTGAAGCTGCTTTGTGGGACATGTGTATATTCAGATTGACGGTGTAAATCATATCAAGAATGTAATCAGGCAGTTTTATTTCAATTAAACATGGAGAAATGTGGCCTAGTGTGTTGTATAGAAGACTGTCAAAGGATATCCAAAGTACATGTATTTAAAAAATGTTTCGTTTCATATAAAACTGAAAAGTAATGTGATCTGCTTTATGAAATGGAAAATGAAGACTGTTTTTGAAAATAATTTAGCTGTTCCCTACATAAAATGCTACATTTGTATGACTTAAACATTTAAACATTATAAAGAGATGTAAGTTTTAATGTATGAAAATGTAAGAAACACAAGGAATATTGGTTTGGTTGTTTACAGAAAATAGTACACTGCAGGTACATTGTACTCTTAATAAATAAATAAATAAATAAAATATTTTTAATCATTAGTATTTATTATTGATATATTCAGCCTACACAAAGCTAAAATTATCTAATTTGAAATGTAAGATTTATTCTTTGAAAAAAAGGTGACAGTGGGAATTATTTTGAAGATAATCCATACTCCCATTTTTTAAAAAAAGAATCCATTAGAAGGCTTTTCAGTGTCCTTTAGATCATTTTGAAAGAATGAAGACACGTGGGACAATATTGCTTTAAATTATCTGATGACAAAATCAAAACGTATAAAACCCTACTTTATGAGCTTTTTAAGATATAAACTATATTGAGACCCCATCTCAAAGGTCATTTAGAAGGGTTTCAAAATTTCACAAGCTTATCCACAGAAAATTGAAGGGCTTGACAATTATATATTATATAATAAGTGCCATTCGAAAATTTTTTGCCTGTATATAGAATATGTACACTGAAAGCTGGAGGAGTATGTGAATTGTGTGTAGTTATAAAAGACAGAACACAGGTATTTGGAGTTATCAAAAAAAGTGTCCAAATGATTCTTGTAGGAATGCTTATGGGCAGCATTTTTGTTCATTTTTGGGATTCTGAAACTTGTTTGTTATCAGTTTGCCTTGGCAAAAAGTCATATCAGGTACTAATTATCATTAATTCCTTTTATTTACAACACATCCAAAAATCAATATAATGAAGAAAACTGTAGTCTATAAAGGACACTAATTTAGCAACTGCATTTTGTGCTATCTGAAAGTCCTAAACACCTTTCAAGGACAGCATCATGATACATCTAATTTAAAGCATGACTAGTTAAAACTAGGTAAAAGCACTCCAATTCTCTGAAATTTGGCTATTAGAGTATGTGCAAGTTGTACATCTTTACCCAGAACAAATTCCACTGGAAGTCCTGTGGCGGCTTCTCTATTGGCAACAAAGTCTCTTATGTTATTTGAATTGAGACTCAATTTGTTAACCCGTGTTCAATTTTGGGAAGCTGATAACCAGTTGTAAATTCCACAATATTTTGGCATCAAGTAGGAAAAAAGAAATAATCAGGATATTATTAGCATAACCACTGTAATAAAACATTATACAGTGAGAGCTTAACCTGAAAAGGGGGGAGTAGATTGGTTCCACTGTTTATTGTGGGGAAGTCAGATCCAATTAGCTTGTTGATTCAGTTCGATTATATGAAGCAGACACTTGACAAGGTAGACACAATGGACTGGCAACTGCTAAGACCAAGGAGTATATATCCCTGAAGAAATAAGTGTGTAATTGACACCAACATGCCCTGAGTGGTTCTGAGCATCTTCTAGCAGCTTCATTCAAGCTAGGGATATGATTGTTGTGATCCATGTTCAATATAAAATGTGTGTAATACATGTAATGATATGTAAGAAACATCTTGAGAGACGGGACAGATGCCGCCTGGGGAACCATCACATTATAGTACCTCTGCTTAATGGATGAAGAATGAGACTCAGAAGGGGCCTTCCCCATCTTCTCAAGACTTTGAAAGAAATGGCAGCAGATTTGCATTTTTATAATTAGAATATTTGTTAATGTAGCCTTACAATGAAGTAGAATTAGCTGATCTGGTTAGGTTTCCTGTTCTGGTTTAACTGGAAGGCCTGACATGCATAAAGCTTCTCTCAAAACCAGATCAGAAATTTTAAAGTTAAATGTTGGGTGTCTCATATTACATTCTATTGTGTCAGTTGCACTGGCTACCAGTTTTCTTCCCAGTGCAATTCAAAATGGTATATTATCTAAAGCTTTAAAGGCACAGGATTAGCTTATTTGCAGAACTGCCTCTCACTTGATAATGCCTGCCTGTCCTACTAGACTGAATAGGATGGGCATGTTCCACGTCTGCCATCTAGTAGGATCTATTAAGTAGGATCTATGAATTTATCATTTTCCAAACCTGTTACTGCAGTGTTTCTCAACCTTGACAATTTTAAGGCATGTGGACTTCAACTCCCATTGCTGGCTGTGGAATTCTGGGAGTTGAAGTCCACATGCCTTAAAATTGTCAAGGTTGAGAAACACTGTGTTACTGCTTTATGGAACACCCTCCCCCAAGTATTCCAGCAGGCCCCAATCCTTTTAGCTCTCCAGAAGGTCAACAAGACTTGGCCCTTTACCAAAAAGTGGGAGCCATAGGATAGTTGTTGGATACCTTGGGATGATGATTGAGGAATCAAGTTTTTAGTTTTTTCTTATTGTTTTCATGGTTTTGGTATTGTTATAAGCCTCACAGAGTTGTACTCTAATATGCATGGACACAGAAATCTTTTAAATAAATCAATAAGTAAACTTTCTTTAAACAAGATATATTTAAGTAATCGTTATGGTTCGTGGAAAGAAGAGCTGATTGTTAAGCTTCAAAATAGGTATGGTGGAAAAGAAAGAATACAATACATAGGTAAAAATCATTAGATGCACACAAAACCTGGATCTCTCACATGCCAAATCAAAGTGCAAGAAGACAGGCACAAGATAAAATGGAATAAACACTGATACTAAAAAGTAGTTCTAGGGCAGAGTGAGGGAAATTTACCAAGGACTTGTGCTGAAATTCTGGGGTATGCTGTAATTGACAAGCATATTCAGCGTTGTGAAAATAAACTTTTAAAAATATGTTTACTAAAAGATAGATGCTAAGGACAGTATGAATTAGTTGCATACTTTTTTAGTTACCATATAGTTTTTCTTCCCTCCAATATTTTAGATCATCTAATTTTAAGATTGGTCTCCATTAAGTTCATGTACTTTTATATAACAGATAAAAATAATACAGCTTTTAATAAACCATTGTAGTCCTAGCAATGTTATGGGCTTGATTTAGAAAAAGTGTTGAACAGGGACATCTGAATAGAATTCAATAATGCTCTAAGCAAAAAACCAACACACCCTTCTGAACAACCCATGATCTTGCCTTACCAGTATTCTGATGTAATTCACTAACCATGCCATGGTAACATCACCTTCACTTACAAACATCAATTAAAATAAGCTATTTATTAGCTAATCAAAATGTTAAAACCACACATAACAGCAGCATTCTATTTCCAGTACAAGAATTGTACTACTCGCTGAATGCTGAGAGTACTAGATTGCTATTAATATGTTATGAAAGGCATTCAATTTACTTAATTCACTTCTGCCAAGCACTCAGCTATTATCATCACTCAAATACCTGTCATTTTTATTGATCTATGCAAGAAAAATAACAAATTTACACAATAATGTTTACTACAGCATTTTTCAGTTGCTACAATAACAGAAATTGCTTTGAATGTGTTGCTTATGTGAAAAATATTTCAACAAAATCTGGGGAGTTGGAAACTAGTTTTCTGTAGAAAGATAGGTGTAACATTTACTAAACAGACTTCTCTGCAACTGATTGAATAATGACTTGAATGTTTTTATTCAATTGTATTGTGAAGGTTACAATTTATTTATATATATATATCTAATTTTTAACAAGTGGATCTAATTTAGTACTTCATTTTATTAGTAAAACCAATTCAAGTAAGTCAGCTAGATTTTCACCTAGCAGTTTAATATGGCAAGCGAGAATGTCATCTGCTTTACATACATTTAGGTAGTGTTTCCAATAGGACAAATATTAAACTAGAAAGCCAATACAGTTTAAAGCAGGAAACAAAATTCATTTGGTCATTTATCCCAGAAAATTAAAGAGCAATGGTGATACCATACAATATTTTGCCTTTTGTTATTTTTTTAAATAGCAATTAAAGAATCTTCTTGTCTGTACAGGTGGAACAGCATCAGCACTGCTTGGATTTACCTGGGGCTTTTTAACAGCATAGTTTCCTTATCGATAACCAGGACCTGGCTGAGTATAGCCCTGGCCAAATGGAGGACGACTGCGTGCATAAGGATTAGGGCCACTCGGAGGAGGAGTCATAGTAGTTCCAGGAGGTGGGGTGAAACCAGGTCTTGGCTGGAAGGTGCTGGGCTGGCTAGGAGCTATTCCAGGTTGCGATGCTGGAGTTACATTATAATTAGCAGACTGGGAAGCCTGAGTTGTATAATTTTGTGGAGTATAAGTGCCTGTTTGATACTGCTGAGGAGGCTGAGCTGGCAGCTGTGGAGCTGGGCCAGGAAAGCCAGGAGCTGGAGCCTGGGAGGCCTGCTGATTGTACCCTGGGAACTGCTGTGCTTGCTGAGGAGCAGTCTGTTGGCTGTAGCCTGCTAAGAGATCCAAGTGAAACAACAGATTTAGAACGTGCTTCTTTATATTGGCATTATTTATTTATACTGAGTTTTATATGACATTAAAGACAAATAAGAAAAGAAAAAGGTGCAAGGAAAAAAAACAAAAAGGACTAAAGTTATAAAATATAACAACTTCCAATCTTTTCTTCAACAGATACTGACAGCCTATCACCTCCCGTCCCTTTTATCTCTTCCAGAAATCTCTTCAACCCTATATTTTTCTATCATAAAATCTATAAATCATTGTTTCATTTTTTTCTCTTTTTTTAGCAAAATGCCCATAAAAGGTTTCCAGCCTTTTAGAAAAGTGTTTGTTTTCTCCCTGACTAAACAGGGCAGTTTCACATTTCTGCCAATTCTAACAATTTTATGATTCATTCCTCCATTGTGGGAATTTCAATACTCTGCCATCTTTGTGCATGCCATTGTATTCTATTACCACATACAAAATTAATAATTTCTAATACTCGTGTGTGTGTACATATGCATATGCATATTCTGGAATGCTATAAAATTTAAGTACAGCTGTTGAAAAAATGAATTCAGAGTTCTACAGCCCTGAATACATATATTCTGTACGCATGGAAGAACAATTTCACGTAGCTGTATTGTAAAGATTGATTTGTGTAGGTGAGCAAAATACAGTTTTTTAGTATCTAGCACCATCAAAAGTACAGATCACACAATTCAACAAAACATGTGTGAAAAAAAATCTATATAAACTGTTAAAAAAGTGACAAGGTAGTAGAAAAGGTGAAACTATATGAATTTGTATTATTTATGCATAACATAAATAGTATATAAACATAATATAGTCTATTTCATATATTTTGATATATAAAAGGTTTCTTTAGAATAAATGCACATTTTAAAGAAGTGTGGACAAAATGGGAAACATATTTTGTTTCAAGCCTGCAACAAAATAGTCCCACTCAAAATGTTCCATAGGAGTGGCCAATGATTATGCTCCATCAGAACAAAACCTATAAATGACTTGAGTGTTTTGTTCCAACCACAAAATGCTATTTTAGAAACATATTTTTGTTCTGCATTCAGAACACTAATAATCCATTAAAAGCTGAAAAGTGCCTGCTGCAACATTGTTTCTGAAACCAGATTGCTGAAAACTTGAGCTCAAAATGGCCAAGTTTCAAGCCAAAAATTTTAGAAAAGTTCAAAATGCTTAGTACCTCCATAAGTATCAGTGTGTGTATGTGTACATGTAGATCCCAGTTTGAAACAATCAATACACATCTGAATAAAAAAGATTATCTCCAGATATCATTTTCACAAATACAAAAATGTAGATAGGAGTGCATATATTTTTAATTTTATGCATTCAGTTATATTACAAATAACTTTCAAAGACAAATTCACTGGTAATGTGAAACAAAAATCTGGATGGGGATGGGGGACTAAGAACTCCATTTATTTTTTGTATAAAACACACCTGAAGCTACTTGCAATGAAACCCCTCCAATGACTGGAATCCTGTTAGCATTAAATACCAGATACATAATAATTATTAAAAACACAGGATCCTTACAAGAAAGCAATGACTAAAATACACTTTTGAACTCACCTGAATTTGGGCTCAAAATTTACTTGAAACAACCAAGAGCACTATAACATAGTTTTGGATTAACTAAGTGACCTATGGCTAGTGATGATACTAAGAAGTAAAGACTATCATCTGTAATGTACACAGTGTAAAGCCTTCTAAAACTTTTTTAAAAAAACCATACATGAATATCATGTAGAAAATTGAATGGCTTCTCTGTAAGGCATCACAAAACTAACTTCCATATGCAGAAAGAACTGTTGGTAACTATATTGATTAACAGCTGCTAAAACTCAGGAGGCATTTATTTTGTGTGTTTGTAGAAGTTGGGCCTCAGATGTTGTTTTGACAAAGATTCATCCTAAACAAAACGTTCAAGAGAAATGTAACCATTCAGATGCAACTTTTCTTCTAGAAGTCATATGACTTATTGGGCATTTGAAATTATTTGACTAGTTTCACTGTAACTGAAGGATTCTAGATTTTTTTTCTAGAGGCAATCTGCAGAGCGGAGAATGACCAAGTAAAATATAACCATTGGGCATTTTCTATTGATTGTATTTTTATGTTAAACTCATTTTTCATAATAATGCGTTCCATCTGGTTTTTTCAACAGTTGTACAATATCCCTTTTAAAAATATGCATCATCTATATCATTTTATATATAAACTATTAAAACAATAAGCTCTGAGCAATGGTAGCATTCAGTTGCTACTTAGGAATACATACATTATCTCTCCAAAACAGCTCTAAACTGTATCTAAAAGTACCTAACTCAGAAGAGCTTTAAAAGCACTTGTGCGTTAATAATATATCCCATCCTGTTTTATTTTTACTTTGAGAACTAAACTATAAAGAAGTATTCCAAATAGGTTACAAAACTATGTAACAATGATGAAGTATCTTCCACCTGCTTACCTTGATATTGTACACCATATTGTTGCTGAGGTTGAGCTTGTGGCTGTTGAGAAGGATATCCAGCCTGTTGTGGATACTGTTGATACATTTGGCCTATCAATTTAAAAGTTAAAATTTTTACAACTTTAGAATATTGCTTGCTTAGCCTTATCTTTCTCATATATTCTCTTAAAACAGGGGTGTCAAACTGCCACCCCGTGGGCCGGTTGCATCATGCGGAGGCCGCACCCCGTGGGCCGGTTGCATCATGCGGAGGCCGCTTCGTAAATGTGAAAAAAGTCACAATACATTGCGACACGTCATGTGAAGCGGCGAGTTTGACACCCGTGTCTTAAAATAAGAGTTTAAAAACAAACATAGAATTAATTTACAGATAATTCTCAGCTTCGTGTAGCAATTGTTCAAAGTTACAACGGCACTGAAAAATTGACTTACAACTGATCCTTGCATTTACAACTGTTGCAGCTTCCCTATGATCACATGATCAAAATCTTAGTGCTTGGCAATCAGCATGTATATATGATGGTTACAGTGTCATGGGGACGTATGATTGCCATTTGTGACCTTACCAGCCAGCTTCCTCCAAATCGGGGAAACCTGATTCACTCCTCAACAACCACCTGATTTACTTAACTACATTGATTCATTTAACAACCATGGGAAAGAAGTTTGTAAAATTGGGTGCAACTCACTTAACAGCCTTGCTTAGCAATAGAAATTATGGTCCTTATTGTGCTTGTAAATCAAGAACTACCTGTAACTGATTATTTTCTAGGGACATAAGTAGCAAGAATATACTTTATATTTTCTCCTCCAAACCATTTCCCAATGAGAACATACAGACATGAATATGTTATCAGAATATAGTTGCCTTTTGGCAGTAAATAGAAATTGATTTAGAGAAGGACAGTGATTTATTATATGCAAAACACTTTGGAAGAAAACTTTTACTTTATCGTCGCTCCCATGTAACACCGTTGCTGCGCGAGCTGCACTGGCTGCCGGTGGCTTTCCGGGTGCGCTTNTTTAGCGGGGTTTTTAAAAAACAATTTTAAATTAATCAAAGGCCAAATCTAATATTTCATTTTAATTATGTTTTTTAACGATAGTATTGGGGTATTTTTTGTATTTGTTTTTTATCAGGCTGTCAGCCGCCCTGAGTCCGTAAGGAGAAGGGCGGGGTAAAAATTCAATTAAATAAATAAATAAATAAATAAATAAATAAAATAAAATCAACAAAGGAGCACACTTCCTTCTCTCTGAGTCCGCATTATCACTAACTGCCTCTGGGAAGAACACCTACCAAGACGAAGATAACAACAATCACAGAAGAGCCTGCATAAACACACACTGCTTTGGAAAGCTAGTTTTATGTGTGCATACCTTTCGGCCAGAAATAATATTGGGATTTTCTATCATATGTATCTAATGTCTATGAAATGAACCAGATATTTAAAAAATATTTCTAACTATTTATTTAGAAAATTTATCTAGTACTTCTAGTAAGTATGCTTCACTTTTAAGCCACTATGCTAATCCTTCAAATAGCCTTTACGCTTTTCATTTTAGAGAATTCTTTGTTAGTGCACCACCTAGTGCTAGGTCAATCAAAATAACATTTTTAAATCAGAAATTATGCATGTTTCTTGTATTTGATTAATTAAAACATGGCACAGGTTGATTGACTTAAAAACCATCTGTGCCCATATAAAGCACTTTGGTATACAACAAAATCCCCAGTTCCAAGAAACCAAATTACATTTTGACAATGAAAAAAATGAAGAAGCAGTGACTAAACAAAAACATAGCCAGAAGTGAATGTGAACAAATGCGGCCAAAGAAGCAAGTCAAATATATCAGAAGATATACAGTAAATGTCTGAGAGAAATCTAAAGCTGAAGCACATAGTCATGAAAGTAAGGGCGTCAAGACCTGGGACAGTTGAGAAACAAAACTGCAAACAGCCAAAAAGTGGTGTGGAACTATAGGAGCAAATATCATAAATTGTATCATATTGTGAGATGGGGCGTTGTCTTACCTGAACACCTTTTCTCAGCATGACGATGTAGAATCCACAGATGGGTTGATCTTGCCTTTCTGCCCTAGAGACTAAGTCAATCAACCTGTGCCATGCCTCTCTTCCTCCGGCTAGGAATCCCCAGTCACAACGAAGGCGCAGCAGTTAATGATATTTCAAGATGGTGGTGGCTCAAATTCCCCTGAAACAAATTCCCCTGACCGGAAGGACCCTAGGGGGGAGGAGTGGATTCTCCATCGTCATGCTGAGAAAAGACGTTCAGGTAAGACAACGCCCCTTCTCCAGCATGACGAATGGAGAATCCACAGATGGGACATACCAAAGCCTCACTGTCTCTATGGGGAGAAGAAGTCTGGGCCTATGTCCCACTATCTGTTACTACCCTTTGGAGAACTCTCCTGCCAAATGAAGTGTCTGCTGAGGCGAACTTATCTAACTTATAATGCCTCACAAATGAGGAAGGAGACGACCAAGTCGCTGCCTTGCATATCTCTTCGATTGACCCGTGTCACCCACGCCACTGAAGTTGCAGCACTGTGAGTGGAGTGTGCAGTGATTCGTCTTGGAACTGGCAAGGAGTGCGTCTGGTACGCCCCTGCTATGCAAGCCCTAATCCATCTGCCGATGGTAGAGGCAGTCACCTTCTGACCCATTGAAGAGGGGTGGAATGAAACAAATAGGGCTTCAGATTTGCGAAAAGAAGCAGTTCGCTTAATATAGTGACGCAAGGCTCTACAAACGTCCAAGGTGTGCCATTTACGTTCCAAATCATGGGATGGCTCAGGACAAAAATCTGGCAGCACAAGCTCCTGCGTCCTGTGAAACAATGAGTTGATTTTGGGGATGAAGGAGGGGTCTAAGCGTAGGACCACCCTGTCGTTATGAAAAATACGTAAGTCATCTCTAATTGAGAGTGCTGCCAATTCCGAGATGCACATAGCCGATGTGACGACTACTAGGAAGGCGACCTTGAGTGTCAAGAACCGTAGAGTGGAGGTTCTGACGGGCTCAAATGGATGTGAAGTGAGAGCCTGTAAGACCTTGGACAGGTCCCAAGAGGGATATCTGTGAACCACGGGCAGTTTGCTGTTGATTGCTCCCCTGACAAAGGAACGTACCATGGAGTGTTGAGCCGAGGGCTCTGAGTTGCCATATGTGAGCACCGTGGACAGGGCAGCAACTTGTCTACGGATTGTATTGGGTGCTAAACCCTTCTTAAGTCCCTCCAGTAAATAATCCAAAATTCTTGGAATAGGAATTGTAGCTGGATCTAATTGTTGTCTCCCACACCAGTTACAGAAATTCTTCCATGTGGAATCATAGATTCTATTAGTTGCAGGCCTTCTTGAAGCCTGAATCATGGTAATCACATCTGATGAGTAGGTCTCTTTTGTTAGGAGTCTCCTTTCAAATGCCAGGCGGTTAGCTGGAGCCATTGAGGCTCTGAGTGTTGTAGAACCCCTGGCTGAGGGAGATTCGATCTTGGGGTATCCTCCACGGAGGAGAGGTCGAGAGATCTACAAGGTCGGCATACCATGGCCATCTTGGCTAGTGGGGAGCAACAAGTATCACCTCTGCCCGTTCCTGCAGTATCTTCCGGATAACTGCCTGGATCAGAGGGAGAGGAGGGAACGCATACAGGAGCTCTCTGGGCCATGGGCTGCGTAGGACATCTACCCTTTCCACCCCTGGAGACGGGAACCGGGAGAAGAATCTTGGGAGCTGGGAATTTGCCAGGGTAGCGAACAAGTCCAGCACTGGATGACCGAACCTCTCTGATATCTCCCTGAAGAGATCCGGGTCCAGGTGCCACTCGGAGTGGTCCACTGTGGCCCTGCTCAAGAAATCTGCTTGCCGGTTCGTTTCAATTGGAGAAGCAGCACCCTCGAAATGCCGCTCCTTAATTCTGGCCTTCTGAATGTCCTGAGAGTGTTTGTAAGGCTTTCAAGATGGCAGCCGCTAGTAAGCGACCTCCTGCTCCGTCATTATGTCTGAATTAATAAATGTGGCAGCTGCTTCTATGGCTGACTAATAAGACTGCTGAATGAATTCTGGCCAAAATTGACTCTATTTGAGTCTAAACGGCCCTCGCTGGAAGTGAGGGTCTCCCCCCCACTCAGGAACAATAAAAGCAGCACTCAAAATGGCGACCGCTATACTTCTGCCCTGCCTGGAAGCTATAAATAGCTCGAGGCTTCAGCCGAAGCCTACAAAATCGCTTTAACACTCAGCAGTTTGAAAAGCAGCGCTGATATCAGCACAGAGAAGGGAAGGAAAGGAAAGGGAAGGGTACAACCTGGGAAAATCCACAGTTTTGTCTTTCTGCTAGAAACAAGAACCAATCTTCACATTTCTCTTGGGCTAAGACTAAGTCGTGACTGGGGATTCCTAGCCGGAGGAAGAGAGGCGTGGCAAAGGTTGACTGACTTAGTCTCTAGGGCAGAAAGGCAAGATCAACCCATCTGTGGATTCTCCATTCATCATGCTGGAGAAAGGAAAGGGTAAATATGTTCACTGGAACTAGGATAAGCATGAATGAATTGCTTACCATCTATTTGACCAGTTTGGGGCTGAGATCCTCCATATGACGGTTGCTGTGGTTGAACACATGGTGGATGGGCTGCGGAGGATGCAGAAGTGATGCTATCAGGTGTTCCTGAACGTTCCTCCACAGGGGCACTGGGTGGTCCTAGAAAAGAAAATATTTTGAAACAAAATAATGAACAATAATCTGCAATGTCTTCTGGAATACAATATTCGTACTTTCATAATAAAGGTGGGATGCAAATAAACAGCATACAGTAAGATAGCTGCATAACTTTAATACAATTAATTCCCCTGTGTCAAAAATACATAGCTTTCTAGTTAATCTTCGAATGGATGACTGGATTCGTACTTCAAAAAAGGGGTAGGAGCCACAATAAAACCAATGAAATAAAATTCAATTTCACATAACTTTAGTCACCTTTAAATCAAATTAATTAAATATAGGTAATAGCAATAGCACTTAAACTTATGTACCACTCCATAGTGCTTTACAACCCTTTCTAAGCAGTTTACAGAGTCAGCGTATTGCTCCCAACAATCTGGGTCCTCATTTTACTGACCTCAGAAGGATGGAAGGCTGAGTCAACCTTGAGCCCGTGAGAATTGAACCCCTGGCGGTCAGCAAAATTAGCCTGCAATACTGTATTCTAACCACTGTGCCACCATGGCTCATAAATATAACCTCATAAATATTACTTCCTATGTAGCTTTTCCTTCTCTCACTTAGAAATCACTACCTTGTAACTACTTTTGGAGGGTTTCTGAAGTCATAGACAAGGTTTCAGGTCATGTAAATGTGTTTTGTGACATTTTTGCCAAAAACCAAGCATTTAGTTCGTTTTCAGAAAAATACTACACCGTGAACAATTGGTTTGCTTAACGATCATGGCATTTGCTTAATGATCTGATGTTCATTTAACGACTGCCACAAGAAAGGTCATAAAATTGGGAACATAATATATATTTCACTACTTACAGAAATAAATAATGCAAATAATCTCTTAAATACTATGCAAATATGCTATTAGATTCCAAATTAGCAATTTCTGTGCAACAGCTAAGGCAGGACAGCTGTGTGCTCTGAACCACATTTTTAAATTTAAGTGGTGCCATTTTCTATCTGCTTTAAAGTGCTGCCATCTGCTGTTTACTTGTATTACTTTTTGAATCGCAAACAGTAGTAATTACTGACTTTATACTGACCAAATTTTCTCAGCTGTTTTGACCATTAACTTAAGCCAGGGGTCTTCAAACTTGGCCCTTTTATGACTTGTGGACTTCAACTCCCAGAATTCCTCAGCCAGCGTGCCTGAGGGATTCTGTGAGTTGAAGTCCACAAGTCATAAAAGGGCCAAGTTTGAAGACCCCCAACTTAGGCAAAAATAACTATGATGAGTTTCACAATTATTCAGAGTTATACCAACTCCAACTGACATTAACTTTCTATAATGTACCTTACAATGCTAAATTAATTACCGTTACAGACAGATTCTGGAGTGCATCCAAAGAAGCAGGTTCTAAACTTCATCATATTCAGATATTAATCATACTGAAAGATTTAATTGGTACTGAAGTTAACTGCAACTTATTTTAACAGCCTATTCCAAGCTAATTAACTTGAATCCAATCCACTTCACCGCACACAGCAAACAGCTATGAATCCAATCCATTAAATCAATACTGCAGCTTTATCTTTCCACTAACCTTCATGGATATTTCTGAAATTGTCATGTGTATCTAGTATGCAATAGCAATTCTGTCATTTCAAAAACACTGTGCTAATAGATAACATGCAAAAAAAATTAAGACGGGATTCTCCTCTACAGACTGGATTCTCCATTTCTTTTATTCCTTACTGTGTTTTTTTTAAACTATTAAACTTCAGGTGTGAGATTAATATATTGTCACTGTTGCTGTTCAGAAATTCAGTATACATATATTCCCCAATATACAGATCTCCCAGATTTTGAAATTCAGATTTATGTAAACCAAGGTAATTCCTGAGTATGTTAACATCTGTTATGAACTAATTGGGACTGGCTACTGAAATGTCACTTTCCGTTGCTTAAAATTCAATCTATGTGAACGGATAAATGCTTAATCTGCCCAGGCCTAGTTATGCCCCTAGTAAACTAATACAATAATAAATCGACAGCCAAGTTTGTCTTTATTGCATTTATAGCTCAAATTTTCACTGAAATATCAAAGATGTCTTATATTGTAATCTTCTCAGTTTTATTTCGACAACTATCTTCTGATGTGATTTAGGCTGAGAGAGAAAAATGGACTCAAAATCATGGAGTAAGCAAGGTGGGAACTTGAACCTGGGTGTCTCCAGTTTAAGTTCAACATCTGATCATAGGTAGTCCTCAACTTATGACCACAACCGAGACCAAACTTGTTGCTAAGTGGGACAGTTGCTGAGTTTTGTCCCATTTTACGATCTTTCTTGCCACGATTGTTAAGTGAATCACTGCAGTTAAGTAGCAACACAGTTGTTAAGGGAATTTGGCTTCCTCCCTTGACTTTTCTTGTCAGAAGCTTGCAAAAGATGGTCACATGACCCTGGGACACTGCATATGTCATAAATACATGCCAGTTGCAAAACACCTAAATTTTGATGATGTGATCACAGGGATGCTGCAAGAGTTGTTAAGTGTGAAAAACAGTCATGTCACTTTTTTAGTGGCATTGCAACATTGAACAGTCACTAAATGAATGGTGGTTAAGTCGAGGACTATCTGTGTGATGGTTCAAATGTATACTT